CGTAAAAATTGTTAGGAATACAACTGTTTACTAAATATTAACAAGTAGTATAAAACAATACACAAAAAAGTTGAAGAGGAGAAAAGAAGGAAAGAGAACGTAAACAGACTTACCATATGTGTTATGTTAATTTTCATAATGGGAATCTTTGGATAAACTAGTTGCATAAACTTCCCTTCAGTGAATTTCTCAATTTTTCCTGGTGAAGAATAATGTTATAAATGAAATCTTTTAATATATATCCTTTTATTTCATTATTTTTAAGTGAATATCGGTATGGGATTTTTGTTGTTATTATTATTACTATTATTCTATAGCTTCTCTTGAGGATGGTTCAGAAGCACCACATTTTCTTAAAGAATTAACAAGTATTACTGTTGTTGAAGGGAGTGCTGCTCGTTTTGAAACATGTGCACGTGGTCAACCTGCACCAACTGTACGTTGGCTTAAAGATGGTAAACCATTATTAACAGATGGTATACGTTTATGTGTATCACAAACATCAACTGAAAGATCTGGCACTAATACATCTAGTCATACACTTTTAGTTAAAGATGCTATACCACGTGATAGTGGAACATATACATGTATTGCAACAAGTTCATCAGGTACTGCTATCACTGAAGCAGCATTACATGTTCGTGGTAAGTTGATTTCTTTCAATCTTATTCTAGTTAAACCATTTTCATTCATAAATACATAACTCTAAAGACTTTTGTATTTATATTCAGTAAAATATTGTGTTAAATAAGCACTTCATTTAGTAATTGTAGAATAATAGAAGCGCTTACATTTTACGTGAAAGTCCGGATGGTGTCTGGTTCTGCTGAAAAACAATGTAAAATTACCCTGGCCCACAAGGGTATATTATATAACTAACTGTAATAACTGTGAACTTACTTTACACCAAGATACACAATTTTCAGTAGCCTATACTTCTTTATACAATACGTTAAACATAAATGACTAGAGGAAGGAATAAGCATTTCTGAACTGAACTTAGTTCTATTAAGTTATTTTAGTCCTCTTATGCATCTTCTGCCATAATAACTCAGTAAATTCAATCACAAACAACAGGGTTATAAGAGGCCTTTTTTCTTGTAAACTATTCGGGATAAATGAGCATAGAAAACACGATTGATGATATATTTTATTGTAAAACTAATGTGTTATAAAAACAATCTGACTTAATAACACACACAAAAGGAAATAATAAAGTGCTTAAGCTTTAGTCATTATAGTCTCATGATTCAGCTTCATCATTCATATTTTCAAGTATAAAGAATCTGATAACAAGAATGGAAGTTTATAAGTTATGTGAGTGATCTATGTTAAAGATTTTTAAGCACATGTTTGTGTATTCATTACGACTAAAAGTGAACCTTCATATGATAATAATTTAAATAATTTGAAGTGTTTATTACTTACTTACTTATTTACTTATGCCTGTTACTCCCAATGGAGCATAGGCCACCGATCAGCATTCTCTAACCCACTCTGTCCTGGGTCTTCCTTTATAGTTCTATCCAATTTTTGTTCATTCTTCTCATTTATGTCTCCATTTCTCGGTGTAATATGTTCTTTGGTCTTCCTCTTTTCCTTTGGTCTTGAGGATTCCACATGAGGGCTTGTCTTGTGACGCAGTTGGGAGCTTTCTCAATGTGTGTTCATTACATTTAATATATTAGTTAAACCATATCATATAATTTTATTGATCATTTTCAATCCTAAAATAAATTTTCCCCAAGGTTTATTCGGTCGTGGAGGTTACATTGGCTCAGATACAGTTAATAGTGGTGGTATTCGACATCGTCATCCTGAATTCACTCGTCGTTTACGTAATCAACAAGTTGATTTTGGCAGTACTATAAGATTAGCTGCATCAGTATTAGCTCAACCATCAGCTACAGTGGTTTGGCAAAAAGATGGTATAGAAATTTTAACTGATCCATCGGATGATCCAAGAATTACGGCTAAAGTTAGTTTAATGATTTCATATAGTATCTAAATTTATGTATATTCTAAACTATATAAAAATTAATTTACTATTCGACATCATTTCTTGTTCTCAACACATTTAATCATAAATAATCAGTATTATTTGAAGAAAAATTGTCAAGTTCTTAACATCTGCATCACACATTATTGATCTCAAAGGATCTCAACTCAAAGTCTGATTCAGTTAAAACATTATAGAAAACCAGTTAATCAATATCGGTTTTATTTACGACTAGTATTCGTAAACTCATACTGGATCAAATTCAAGGTTTTCATGCAGTGGATGAGAACACAGGCAGAGACAATTAAATGTGTTTCAATACATTACAGAATATCTTGATAAAATCGGAGAACCATACAGTAAATACTTTATTTGCAAATTATTCATCAATTGTCTTAGCCTTCGTTGTTCCTTCATTTCCATAGCAAACACTCTCTATTCTCATTCTCTTCTCTTTGATTTTCTCAACCTCCTGCCACCAGGCATTCCACTTTCGATTGTTGATACTACTTATATCTGTCGATATCAGTAGCACATATCACATTCATACCCTGTAATAAATCTGATTTATTTTTTGGATGACTATATTGAAATTTAATAGTTCACATTTCAAAATCAAATCAATTCACAGTCCTATCATTGGTCAACTACTTTAATTATGAGCTGTGTTAACGCCACTAATCACAGACTCAGATGAATCTTACAAAAAATCCATTACTAGGGGCCATATTTTGTATTAATTAGCACGGTGAATGAAAAAGAAACTATGAATATTCTGTTTACATTAGTTGTAGTCAGCATAAATAATGATCAGTTTTACATGAGTTTGTCATCAAAAAAGCATAAATTACCGTTTGAGTTAAACATTTCGATGATATAATTAGTAAATGGTGAAACTCTTTTATTTAAACACTGTCGTCATCATGATCATCATTAAAAATCCCTTTTTTTTAAAAATTATGTAACTGTTAATTTACAGAATCATAGCGGTCATCTAGAATTACGTATTGAAAATGTATGTAAAGATGATTTGGGTCAATATACAGTGATTGTATATAATTCTGCTGGTGAAGCTCGTTGTTCATGCATTCTACAAAGTACAACTAAAATGGAAATACAAGTGCCTAAATTCACTAAAGAACTTCGAGATTATACAATATTAGAAGGTACTAATTTATGTTTAGAAACCATAGCAATCGGTGAACCAATACCTGAATTTAAATGGTAAGTATTAAAAAAAAAATTATTTCCATTGAATAATTGAACAATTATTTAGTACATTCTTTTCATTTATATTGGGACCATCAAGTCAACTATGCTAAACTTAGACATAAAGCACCAAGGAAATTTAACAAATTTGTTAATGTGGTAGTAAATCTTCACTAATTGAAGTGGTTAAGATACGTATTACATATGCTCCACCACGGCCTACTTCAATGCCTAATATTGGTTGGTGTAGAATTAAGTTGTAATAATGTCTTAGACGGCCAAACTAAGACGTGATATCAGTCAATGAACGCATTGAGCTGTGAGAATAAGTGCAGACTACCTGATTGGAATCAGTGTGATTACCTCAGCTAGTTGTTGGATATGCTGGGTGGCATGGCTAAGAATTGGTCTTAGTTTAGCAGATGGATTCAATATTTGCTTTTCTTTAGATTAAAGATGCCACAAGTATTACATTTATTTACCGCTACAAGATCTTAATTTTCGGAATTGTCTTCTTGTGCGAATTCATTTTTTTCTCTGATCACACCGTCTACGTCTAATCTTTTTTACTACCATTAATACTGTTATTAATTCTCTCGTACACTCTGATATTTATTTTAATAGTTTCCACTCACTGTGCTAATATGTTTGGTAAATTGAACTGACACAAAAATATCTCAGGTCCTATGTTGTTTATGACTGGCTGTCTGTTACTTAGTTAAAGATTAACAGTGATAAGTGTCAATCTTTTAAAATTAGTATCAAGTACTCTTTTTGGTCACTTCAGTCCAGTAATGATATGCCATTTATTGTTACTTAATTGTATTAACTGAAGGCAATATCTAAATGGAATACTTTAATTATAAATTTGCTTTGATTCTTTCTTTTGTATCTAACGTATAAAATAGGGAAAAAGATGGTTTTGAAATTCTTCCTGATGAATATGGTCCACCACGTATCACACCTGGAACAAATGGTAGTGGTTTAGCTTATTTACGCATTCACAATGTTCGTAGTTCAGATGCAGGTTTGTATCGTTGCATTGCATATAATAGATTTGGTCGTGAAAGAACAACTTGCATTGTTCATGTGGAATCAATTAAACAAAAAGGTGTACATCGGTCAGATATGAGAAATGGATCATTTACCTCGAAAAAAGATACAGATTCTTCTTTAGCACTGTTATCTGAGAACGGTATTAAAGCATCACCAAAGGATCATTCAGATTCACCCAAATTAACTGGATATATTACTGTGTTACGTCCATTGCCTAAAACTATTGAAGTTGAAGAAGGCAGTCCTATTGAACTAACATGTCGTGTTGATACAAATTTACATTACATTCGTAAGTATCATTTTTTTATTAGATAATGAATATTGTTTTCTTTAAATTTTAATAATATAACGACAGAATTTAAATATTACCTGCTTGCCACGTTGTACTACTATTATACAGTTTTGCGACCGGTAGGACCGAGATTATACTACGACAAGACTGGATACTCGATCGATAGGCTATGTACAAACTGGATCTCATTATATCAGGTACACGATTCACGACTAGTAATGGAGAATCAGAGTATACGCTAGACAATACTTTATTCAAAGAAATTAGTTGCATTCAGTGAGTATAGAGTAAATATCAACAATACGAAAGGAAACCATGTATATAATGGCCAGCAAGTTGTGCGTTTATTTGTTCACGTTCGGTGACCAATCTCATTTACTTTCACCAGTCACACATCATTAAACTTATCTTGTAGACAAAAGATGCAGTCACTCGGAAAGTTGTTCAACTTTAGATAGTGTACAGTCTAAAATTACTTTTTGTTTAGTGAAGACCTCTGACAGAAACTTGAACCTAAAACTTTAAACTAAATCTCTGCGAAATTAGAATTTTAGAAAGGACTAGAAAAATACTTTAAAAGATTACTTTCACCTAAACGTCCGGATTTTAGCGAAAAACATCTATCCAACAAACACTGATTGTTCTCGAATGAATTATTAGGTTAAAATCTAATAGTTTTTAAAGTTTGATTGTATTAGCTCCCAAATGCCCTGATACGGCCGAGAGTGGGGAGAGTTTGCTCTCCCTCTCCAAATGCTCTCACATTGCCACGCGTATATAGCCTCTGTCAGGGAAGTCCTACTCACTTCCTTCTCGTGGCGGGGGTGTTGTTTACGAAATTGAGAGGACGAAAAGCGAATGTCCGGCGCTTTAACCGGGTTTGTGGACACAGAGAGTCCACCTAGGGGAGTTAGAAAACCCTGATTCCAAATCAATGGTGCACATGGGCTCCAGGATTCTGAAGGAACAAATGACGTATGAACCAACTATCGGTCACCAGCTACCATGGGATTGCATCTCACGATGCTTCACTGCTTTGTGGATCAGACCTTCAGGTCGAAGACTCCAGGTGTGGCCCCCTAAGAAAACCACCTGCTTCGGTTTGGACACCCTAGCAGTACCACAGCCCTCATACATATCAAATGAGATTTATATGGCGCATATGTATTTGGTGCCTCCTTGTACCAACGTTTATGTGTTTAAATAAAAATGGCTGATTCATATGTACTAAGCTTTATTCTCACGAATAAAAGCTGTTATACAACATCACGAATATTTTGATAATAATTAGATCTACAATTGGATTCTATTTAAAGTGTATTGAACTAATTTCTCTTACTTATATTTATCTGATTAAGTAAATGTTTTGTAACATTTAAATAAAATATTTCCCTTATATATATTTTTTTAAATTAAAAGCTACATGGAGTAAATCAGGTCGAACTTTAACATATGATGGTCGTAGAAGAATTACTCGTAGTAAAGATGGTGAACTTACATTAGCTATTGATCAAGTAATGTCTAATGACGATGGATCATACACATTGACATTAGAAGCTTCTGATGCAAATGCACCGAAGAATCTAGAACCAATTGTACTTTCTACACGTGTTCAAATTAAATCAAAACAAAAACCACGGTAAATTCAATTATTTGTATATAATAATAGTTTATAATTTTACATTTTAATTTAATGACAAATACAAAGATAGTTGAAGTTAACAAAATGTAATTTGATGCTTGCCGAATAATTAGACTTTGTGCATAACGCATGACATATCGTTTAGAATGATAACGAAAGTTTTGGGATTAATTAAACCACTGAGTTGGTTGAGGATGCTGGTGAGAGGTCTACACTCCTTGACGAGGAGTAACAGGAGTAAGTAAGTGAAAGTTTAGGAAATAAAACATGTTCAATTCTCAAGTGTATAGTGATTGCTTACTTGGTAGTAACTAATATCATGTTTACCTAGTTCATAGTGGCATTCGAATTTGATCAATCAAACTGTGATTTTTCCAATAAATTTCAAAAATTTAACATTACATTCACTACCTTTGAATGTTAAGTGGCTGGAGGCTATCGTAAAGAACTTCGAACCTAGATTAATGCTAATGACATGTATAATTTGATCACGACTGATTGACGTAGGTTCGAATCTCAGTAAGGAGCGTCGATACCCTTGGAATCACAGATGCACCTTACTGGAGAGATCCAGCTATTGCGAAGATCAGGTTCATAGGATTCTGATGATTGCTTCCGATGAGTCTCACTGATTGAATGCTAGATTCGTTTCCTAGGCTCTTCTGGTAACCCCCAGGCTAGATCTACATATCGACTCGAAGACGTGAGCAAAGGCGCGAAATATGTAAGAAACACTTTACTCTAAAGTTTCGTCTATTTACAGAAAATCTAGAGTTTTTATAGTATTTTATATGCTACTAAACATAGTAGTAGTTTAAGTAATCATCCAATCAGAAGCTCGGCATGTGACTTTTCACTTTCTAGATGTTTCTGGCAAAAATTCTAGTGAACGTTGATTGAATAAGATGCTTCTTAATGTTTTCTGAGCCTTTCTTGGCTTTTGCGAGAAGTTTTCTGGATCTCTCTAACAACTTCTAACTATCTACCACTTTCATAAATTTATATAATAACATTTAATAATAAACTAATAAATGAAAAGTCACTGTGATATATAGACGCCTACCCACTTGTGAAATTGATTTGTTTGCAGAAATCAATCATATAATCCTGTACAGTTTTATTTCAAATATACTTTGCTCATCAATGAACATAACTGTGATAATTACAAGTATTTGAATTATAGTACAAACTAAGAATCTCAGGAATAACACAATTGGATCAAGAAGTAGTAGATAAGCACGAACGAATGTACTGTATTTGGAATTCGAAATCAAGCATTCGACAAGTACAAAGGAATCGTTAGTTCATATAAACACCACATACGCCACAGATTAAATGAGAATCCAAATTTCTGCAATCAGTTGTGCCCCTTCTTCATAGGTTCATCGTGTCTGTCCGACCGTCCATTGCATGTAGACTCTGTGTGATCTAGAATGTGCTCATTAGTATTAGAATTGACAACCGAAATCGGAACAGACCCACCTGGGTCCTGGAATTGCATGCAATCACCATGTCGGTTGTGTACTGAAATCACTGATAACTTGAAATACGAACCAAAGATTTTCCAACACTATCCTCAACCACGAAATAATGTTGGATCTTCATATCCCCAAGTTATGAATGATGTGGCTTCATTTGAAATATATTTCTCACAATGGTTAGAGTACACATTAGAAGTGTTTTTGTGATAAGGATGAACAACGGTTGATATGAAATCATCAGAATTGTAATTAAAATCGAGCTCATTTAGTACTCGTGCTTCGCACTGAATAAGTTTCCCACAAGAAGCAAATGCATTATGAAGACAAATAATATTTGATGACATCAAGATTTGATTCTTCTGAAATACTTCCCTCAAATTTATTAAGAATGTCATCGCAGAGTAAAGGATCATTAGAAAAATCAGCATCTGCATCAGGTTTTCGATCATGACTAGGTTCATTCAACATATTTTCGTCAGATTTGTAAGGAATTTCGTCAGAAATAAGTGAGTCATTAGGAAAAACTATATATGGTACAATAACATGAGAAAACTGATAAGTCGATTGATTAGAAACTGTTGTCTCGCAAGGATTCGGAGTCTCATTTAACTCTGAACTGCTATATGACTCTACACTGTTTTTTAAAATCGTTGATAAAGATAAATAATCATTAGGAACACTGGACTTAATAGAATCAGAATTATAAAACTTAATATTGGCTACAGCAAGATGTACAGTAGTATTACAATTTGACTGAATATGTCCAATATCACCACATTTAAAGCACTTAGAATTACGAAATTTACATGAATTAAAAGAGTGGAACTTGCCACAGAACAAACATTGACTAAACTTGTGCCCATCGTTAGTTCACGTAAACACCACACTAACGCTTAATGAATTCTACAAATAAACCATTTTGCATTTATGAATATATTCATTTGTTTCCTGTTACATTTTTTTTTCATATTTTATCATAGTTATGATACTGTTTCACGTGGATCATCTCGTGCTAATTCTCGAGCAACAAGTGTTTCAAATGGTCGAACTTCTAAAGAACCATAATATCAATCAATTATAAACAAAGATAAATGTTAACAAGACAATATAAGTTACAATAAGTATGTATTCATATAAGATATTTGTTTGTGTATTTTTAGTCATCTAAGATATTTTGACCTATACAAACAATTTTAATCTTGTTTCCATAACAACAGTTTATGTTATGGATGATGATCATGAGAATGACTAGGATACAACTGCTTCTAGATTTAACCTTCTTTTTTTCAAAATATACGATTGTATGTAACATGACAAACAATTATGCAATTAGAAATCTTCAACATTTCGAAAGTTTCGTATTCACATCTATATCAACTTCATGAAGATTATGTACTTGTTTGTCTATATATTACTTTCTGTCAAAACTTGATGTATGAAAAATATAATATTCGTTTCTTTTACTTTGTCTAATATAAATCAATTTTTTGTTGCTGTACGCGTCCCCCTTTAAGTATTAACTATTATGAATACTACTACTAGTACTACTAATACTAATACTAATGCTACTCCTATTAGTACCATTTTATCTAATTATCACTTAATGATAAGTTCATTTATTAGTTTACAACAATCTATGTGTAAGAATATCCCTTTTTTGAGTATATCACATTTCATTAAAAATACCCTGACTCCCCTCTTTCACCTCCCCCTCCCCAAAATTTTTTATTTCATTGATCCTCTCATAACTTATTAATTTAGATAATGTTATTTTAAAGAGAGAAACGAATGCAACTTTACCAAAAAAGAAAGGAAAAGATTCTTGTATTTCCAATGAATAACACATTATGATTAGTTTCATTTATAACTAAGTAACTATAATCAGAATATTTATCAAGTTTATCCATGAATTTGTTTGTTATTCTTTCCTCTTTAACTTTTATTGGTAATTATTACACATCCTTATATACTACTGATTTGAATTGTTTAATTAACCAATTAATGTAATGTTTAAATAAATCACTTGATAATTAATTGATTATTTACTTTTTCATTCAGATCAATTTGGTAGACAAAGTAAGTGTTCATGTTCACAGATGATTGTAGTGTTCTCTAAGTTAACTAGTTTAATTGTGATCATTGTAAATCATTTAGTGTTTATCAGTAATCATTTATTGTAATATTTTGTCGTTTCTGCTTTACTCAATTATTTACCATCATGTTGGACAGTTGATTCATGAGTTTGTATGTAATACTTGTTAGTAGAATATGCTAAGCGTTTCGTATATCCCGACAGCGGAAAACGTGTTATAGTTGTATGATTCTGAAGAAGCAACTACCGCCCCCCCCTCCAGATCCTTATTCTGAGCAACAAATATTCTTAATTATCTCGACATGAAAGCCTGATCGGGTAAATAATTTTCAGAAAGTTACAATCTATCTATGTTATTAAAGTTATTTTAATTGAATTAATAGATAGCCTATTACTTGCAATGTAAAGGAGTGAATAAATCAAACTCCAAAGTAGTTCACAAATTAATCAAAGATATTTTTAAGTGTATTATTTGAACAATCAATCTACTATATAGAACTATATTGTACTATCATATTCTTCGAGTAGATTCTTAAAATAAATTCAAGGAATAATCCAGATTACAGTTATACATTAGATTAAATACTCGTCATGATTAGTTAGGAAAATGGGAAAGTATAAACTTGCAAATCTATAAGACGAATTTGAAGTGAACTGCACTGGCTTTAAGTCTCAGAGTGAATATCAACTCTGAGATGCAGGTAAATTCAGCTGACAAATCCCAAATAGGACGAAACGTTTGTCAAACTAAATTTCACTGCTAGCCACTATCCATCAAATTTCAATTATTTAGAAATATTGTCAATTTTTCTATTGGTTTTTAACATTTAAAATAAAAACATGATACATACTACTTATCATTTATGAGATGAAAAGATACTCTTCTTTCTCATTTGATTAAAACTTACAAAGCCTTCACACTTTAAATATATTAGTATATCAGGAATAGGTGCTTCAAAAATGAATTACTTACCTATTCTGATGTATGGTTATATAGTGTATTTATTGAAATTCTTTAACTAATCATATCAGGCATCTGAAAGTAGAGTAGACTAGCTTGTTTGATGATGTTGAGATTACTATATTAGTAATCAGTGTTCGAAAGAATGATTAGTCGAAATATCCCGTTCCTAAAAATGTTCTATGAAATTCTGCCCTGTGCTGTAGAAGACTTCTCTTTTCGAGGTGAGGATGTCCAGCGAATCTATGTGCCTTATTTGCGTTGCATGAAATTTTGACTTAGTATGACTTTATCAAGTTATCGATGAATATGGAGCTTGGAGTGAACTTATTACTTCTTTCCTTATAAAGACCTTTAAAGTGACCTATTACTCCCTATAATAATCGAATGATCTGATCAGTGCTTTGTCAACAAATTGCTGTAGAAATTCTCAGCCTAAGATTGGTATAGATTACACAAGCTGATGACTTTACAATGAACACTAGTTCTCAAAACTGACAAAAGTCTAAACTAGACGACACGACACCATATAACACTGGCTTTCATATTATTGCTCAGATATTGAAATGATACCATCTTTAATTAAAGCGTTACATCATGGTTGGTTTGAATCTCCCTATGAGGGTGAACATAAGTCTCTGAATTCGTAGATTAGGAAAAACTTTACTAACTCAAAGCACATCAGATAATATATGGGTACTCAGTGAAACTACCAGTGACGAAATATTTTGTCATTTGCCCTAACATGACCGAGAATTAGGAAAGTCCCGCCATATTTCCATTTTGTGTCCGGTCCTATTCTTCAACTCAGTGGCTTAAATCTGTCTCATTAAAAAATTTTCAGTTCATTGGATGGTCGGTTTGATGAATGGTGTCATAGAGTACGGAATCTGTCATATCTTTTCAAAAGCCATGCCTGGCACCCAAGCTTGCCTCCTTCAGCATTTGGATTTCCATGCAAAACGGAAAATACAAATTTCTAACCGTTTCTTTGGTACTAATATATACTGTACATTATAGACAGATATCCAAGCACGACAACTTCGTTCTGCATCTCTCCGTTCAAAGATTATTTCATGTGCGCTGATCCGGAACCATGTAGCACAGACATCCGATTTAGCTAGTGTCGGTGTCTCACTACGAAGCAGAGCATAGGGAGAATTGATTTGTCCGTATTAATAGTTTTCCATATACTTTCTCACTAAAACGCACAGCCAGTGATAAAGAACCGGTGTGGGGAACGATGTCTTTTTGTAATCTCCAGCAACTCGCGAGCAGACTGTAGCACGCATGTAATCAAAGTAGAGTTCTAACATAACGTCAACAATCTCAATAGATGGTGGTAACCGGTGTGGATGCGCAGATCGAGTGTTTAGGCGCAGAGGAGGGTGGCTTGGGCAAAGACTTTATGATAGCTCTAGATTTGTCATTTGAAAAATGTATCTAAGTTTACTAACGTATTTAAGGCTGAACTCTGCCATTGATAACATTCTGGAAACAGCTCTGATCGAAACAAGTACTAGTGGTGTGTACCTGCTACGCGGAGAAAGACTTTTCGGTCTTAAATATGCGAATAATATTGTCTTGATGTGCAGTGATACACAAACTATCTAGATCCCACTTATTAAGTTAGGAATGTCTCTAAGTATGGTGTTTTTTGTACCTTCTAGAAATAGAACACTTCTACAAGACTTGGCAGGAACCTGTGCTTGCAATCACTGTTTTTGGTGAGTTATCATTAGTCGAAAACTTCGTGTCCAGGGAAACTGAGTTTTGGTGGAGTTACAATCGATAAAATCAATCTACGATTAGCGAAAATCAGAACGACATACACCCAACTGTCCTGTCTTGATATTGGTTTGAATCTATAAGGTCGAGTTTACAATGCGTTAGTGAGAGCGATTCTGCTCTTTGCTTACAAAACATGGATTTCCAAAGTTGAGGATCTTCAGTGATTTCGTGTTCGACAGTCATTGTCTCCGAAGGATTGCTGACATCCAGTAGCAACTTTATATTAGTAGTACAGAAGTTCGACAGTGCGTATTCAAGTGTAGTGACGATGATCCAACTAGTCTCATCATCTTGAAACACCTGCTTAGTAGCTTGGACGTATCTTACAAATGCCATCCTGGCAGATCCCACATCGTGGATTAGTTACTAATGCTCAGAAAGAATGGATAAATCAGTCATACTCAACATAGAACCTAGTACATGTGTACATTGATTCAAGTTGTCACACTGCAGTTAGTACAGTGAACTGAAAGCATCAGGAAAAATTCAAAAGTAGTAGATATAGCACCAATATTAATGGTAATAGAAAAGACTAAGCATTGAAGATACGATTTGAAAATGAAATCCAAATTAATCAAACAATGAATGCACCTCTACCATTGAGGATGATTTTAAGCCATATCATCTAAAGTCTATAAACATTAGTTACGATAATCAAGCGAACATCAACCAGATAGTCTGCAACTATTTACACAGTTCACAATCCAACAATTCGTGTCCTCATGGAATGCTATCATGTTTCGATTTGATGCTCTATTATACCACAATTTACACATTCAGTCAGTCAGTCAGCTACAACATAGGACCAGGCACATATATGCATCGGTCCAGGTTACCATACCTCGTTAGCACAGCAAGATGAACACCGGATTCATAGGAGTGGTTAGGTTAAAGGTGATAATATATAGGAGAAAGATTGCATATAAGGATACAGTACCGGAATATAGAATTAGTTCGTAGAAAGAAAGATATGAAGCGATTTTAATCTCTTAGTTTAAGTGCAGACAGGGAGTGTATACACCGACGCCATTGTGACCGATTCTGAGCCATGTCACCAAGAGTCTCCAACCATTGGTTACAAAAGTCACGCGGACCCCAACCAAGTAGTCTGCATCTACCAACATGGCTCAGACTAGAGGTTAGTGTCTTCAAGCACTGATGCCACGTTTTGGTTTGGCCGCCCCTGACTTTCTTCCAACCATCCCCTACACCCGTTAGCATTGCACGTCGTGGTAATCGGTGTTCAGGCATACGTAACACGTGGCCCAACCATCTCAGTCGATGAAGATTAACAACCTCATCAACTGATTTACCATCATTACCTAATACCCTGCGTCGGACCTCACTATTACTTACCCGGTGATCCCAACAGACGCCAGCAATATTTCCAAGGCATCTGTGGTCAATTACTAATAGATTACGAGTGTCTTCTACTCTTAATGGCCATGTTTCGCTGCCGTAAATTAAAACAGAACGGACTGCGGCGCAGTATACTGGTCCTTTTATTGATAGACGGATATCTCACCTTCGCCACAAGTGACGTAAGTTGGCAAAAGCCAAACGAGCTTTTCGAATCCGTGCTAAGATTTCGTCCGATACCAACCCATTAAGGCTGATCAGACTTCCAAGATAAGTGAAGTTAGAACAACACATATAAGCGAACAATTGTTTTCAATTAGATCGTCATCAGGCTTTACTCTAATATACATGAATATTTATACGAAAATGTTAAACCAATCAAGGCAATATGAGTCAATAATCACAATGAAATAAAATAAGTCTCTAGGTAAAAGTACAAGTTGTCGACGCGTTCGACTACTTCACTCCTTATCCTTAGTTCAGGTGTTGACGCAGACCAGTCCTGAAGCAACAACTTGCATTTAGAGGGAGAGAAGCGCATTCCAAACATTCTGGCATTGTTGCTTAGTGCTACCAAAAGACTCTGCATTTTGTCAGCGTCTTCACCGAACAGGACTATATCATCTGCGTATTCTAAGTCGATAAGTGGACCTCCTGGAAGGAGATCAATACCTGAGAATTCAGTCGACGAGAATGTTATTTCCATCAGTAGGTCTATGATGAAGTTAAGCAGAAATGGAGAAAGTGGACAGCCTTGACGGACAGCACTTGAGTTTGAAAAACTAGATGACAGTTCGCCATAAGCTCTGACTCGACTAGTAGTGTTCGAGTAAAGAGCCTTTACAAGGTTTGTGTACTTCTGATGTATGCCTTTCAGTGACAGACACTGCCACAGAATCTCGCGGTCTACCGAGTCAAATGCTGCTTTAAGTCAAGAAAGACCACCATTGTCGGACGCCGATAAGTATGCCTGTGTTCTAGAACCTGACGAATAGTGAATATGTGGTCGATGCAGCCACAACCAGGTCTGAAGCCAGCTTAGTTTTCTCGTGTTTGCAGTTCACGAGTCTTAGTTAGGCGTCTGATTATTATTGAGGCTAGTATTTTAGATACTATATTTGTTAAACTAATCCCTCTGTGGTTGTCACAAGATGATTTTGATCCTTTCTTATATATTGGGACGATAAGTGATGGCGACCAGTCAGATGGAATAACATCTAACTCCCAGATCTTAGCTAAAATATTAGTCAACCTAACCGCTAAAATTGGACCACCATCCTTAACGACTTCTGGAGCCAATCCATCTGGACCTGGTGCCCTTCCTCGTTTCAGATTAACTATAGCCTTTTGAACTTCTGATAAAGTTGGAGGACCTACTTCAATGTTCCATTCACACTGTCTGGGAATGGACGGTAGTTGTAGAGTCGCTGAAGGCCAGCTGAACTGTTCCCTAAAGTGTTCCGCCCATCGTTCTAAACGTCTGGACTGGGAATAGATGAGAGTATCGTCTTTTTCCGAAATAATCTCACTTACACTTGACTTATTAGTTCCAGTTTCTTTTATTAGTCTGTAAAGCTGTCTTGCGTTCCCTATAGTCGCTGCCTTTTCCATCTCTTTTGCTTTCGTTGCCCACCACTGCTCACGGTCGTTTCTTAGACTTTTTCTTAACCTAGATCTGATTTGTTGTCGCTCTTCATCATGTTCAGAACCTGATGGGACGAGTTTGCGAGAATCCATCAGTGTGATAGACTTTGAAGAAATCCACTGATTCTTTGTAACTCTGTGGTTTAAGTCACTAACAGATTTCATTGCTGTTTCCACAGCTGTTTGTATATATTTCCAAGCAACATCCGGGTCAGCCTCGTTTTCAGAACTACCTAAGTGTGACCTCAGTTGTTCCTGGAACTTACTTTTGGTTTTCTCGTTACTCGACTCAGTTCTATTGGGTCGACTGTTGACGGGGATCCACTCTAACAGTGCTTGTTCAGCCCTCATGCTTAGTGCTATGCCTACACCTGCCAGTCCACGAGAACTGGCCATCGGGTCACCAGATACACGGAGGGTGTATCTCGTTGGCTCTCCGTTTTGCCGAGGTGGGGTCAAGTGAATGACCACACTGGGATCCTGTATGCGTGTTTCGGAGACACAGCACACATCAATGGTACGAGATTCCAGGGTTCGAGTCAAGGAAGCCTGTTAACCGATTTGACATAAGGTGCGTACGTTGAAGGCTCCAATGTGTAGTTTGGAGCGAGGTTTCAGTAAACCTGGGACAGTGTTTTGAGCACTAGAATCGTTGGCTATGGTGATACTTGAGGAGGAAGCCGAAAGAGGAAATTTAGAGGTGAAAGTCGATGTAGGAGGAATAATAGGAATTGAAGAGGGAGGTTGATTATGAATACAGTGGTCTTGAGTGCTGTTAGAGGTATGAGGGCGGTTATCACTTCCCAGTTGCCCACACCGTGGAAGGATTCTTCTGGAGGTACCTGAAAACGAAATCGGATTAGAAGTGGTCTTAGTGACCTGGGAGCGTGACCGCAGTGCCCAAGGGACAACTGCTTGAGGTCGGTCACACACGACCTTTTTATGGGCAATTTTTGTGTTAGCTCCGTACTTATTGAGACCTTACCGCCGGAGACGGATATCCGTGGGATAAGGCGAGGTGTGCATTGTTAGGGTCGACCTTTTCTAACCCCACCCCTCCTTGTGGGAAGGCAGCATCGCTGTCGTGCTGGTTGTCTGAAGGAAACACCTTACTGCTGTCACACCTCTGTACAGTCAGCAGTACGACTTCGCCTTCGGACCTTGGGTTTGTTGCTTTTAGTCTTACCGCTCTTCAACCGACCTTTCTGACGTGGTAGGACCTTGAGGAACAGTTGTTCTAGTCAGTATAGCTCGGTTGCTTCATCACGATAGGCAAGCCCGACCATCACGTCAAGGTAGCAACAACATTATAAGCAAATAAATAAAATTAATAAATAAATAACTTCAGCCAATATACGAAATTGCGCCACCGTCAACCATTGTCTTCAGTAAGTCACTATCTCACAACAGACTTAGTTGAACTCCACTGATCATGAATTCTCACTAGAACTCCAGAAAATACCTCTTGAAACCGCGAGGCGGGATTGTGGATGCGCACTGCTAAGGAGTCTCATACGAGGACGAAACGACCGTCCAGTACTTCCAGGTTTTCCATAGTGGTCTAGCTTTAATTGACTCATGAATTCAACTATTTAATTACTAAAATCTTCATAAAACCCCCTTCTGAAAATAAATAACTCAACTGTTACAAATTGGTATTACAAAAAATATATAACAATATTCTTTAAGATTTCTAAGAAATTATCACTAACTAATTATCTTTTTTTTGAGAACTTATTCAAAGAAACCCAAAACAAATATAGAACAATGTAAATAAGAGAACAGACTCAACGATGAATACATGTATGTATGCGTATGTGTGCGCATATGTGTGTATACATATATAAGTTAAAAACAAGTAACATAAGCCAAAAGATGAAACACTTTGCATAGAATGATATGGATGAAAACCACAGAAGGAAAAAGAACGGCGAGAAACTGTGGAAAAAGAATTCTATTCACAGAGAAACAACATTATTAACAAAATGCATAAAATTAAGAAGAAAAAATGCAATAATCATTGCATTACAGGGGAAAAGAAAGGAAGCAGCATGTGGGATGACAACAACAACAACAACAAAGAAAACACGGTAAACATTTACAGGAACTGAACAACTAATTGTTTTTTTTATTATTTATAAATGAACTATTTACATAAATGTATGTAAAAAAATATATTATTAAAGTATGATAATTGGAGCCATTGATGCTAATTGATTCAAATTCAAGTGTTGTCCATGGGTTTCTATTAATGTGGCTACCATATTTGGAGTTTTATTTAATAAACACTCAGCGATACCTTCATAATCACGTCCTAATTTACCGATAGCATGACAAGCCAGTTGTATATCCACTGGACTCCAGTAGGGATCCTATAAAATATATATACATTTCAAAAGAATTAACTAAAAGGTAACGATTATAACAAAACAATTATTTACAATTCATTGGTCACTATCATTGAGGATTTATTTATTTAAATACACAAACATTAGTACAAAGAGGTACCAAATAGATATGCGCCACATAAATCATTCGATGTGTGTGAGAAGTAGGATACTGCCTGGGTTCCCAAACCGAAACAGGTGGTTTTCTTAGGGGACCACACCCGGAGCCTTCAACCTAGAGGTCTGATCCATAAGGCAGTGGAGCAACGTAAGGAGATGCAGTCCCATGGTAAATGGTGACTAATAAATAGTTCAAAAACACCATTTTCCTCTCAGGATACTAGAGCCCATGTGCAACATCGGGTTTTCCGAATCCCCGAGGTGGATCCTTCATATCCACCAACCCGGTTAAAGCGTTTGACATTCACTTTTCGTCTTCTCAATTTCGCAAACACCCCCCGCCGTGAGAAGGCAGTGAGTAGGACCTCCCTGGCAGCAGTTGTAGGCTCGTGGCCACTTGAGAGCATTTCGAGAGGGAGAGCTGACACTCCCCACTCTCGGCAACGTCATCGTTTATTTAATTCTTAACGCTGATCGAATTCAATCGATTTGGTTTCGACAGAATTAATACTGGTTACTACTTCATGATGAAGCAATTTAAATAACACAATCTTACAAGATTTCCGTTGAAGACTAAATAACTCATTGACCCGTGTTCGACATCTCATAAAGCATCAGTTTCTTCACAATTTCAAGTACATCTCGCTGATAAGGGACAACTAAGACGAAAACTAGGTTAAACACAGTTACCTATTGAATACCTCTAACCACCTAACGTACAATAATCATCTATAATGGCTAATGATTTACACTGTTTAAGTTATGAATTATCAAAATATGTTAAAATTCAATTAATATTGTCTAGCGAATATGATTGACCAGGTAATAGTACATGGTCAGTTAACTCTGCATAACTCGACATCATGGTTCAGGTTGTTCAACATTGGATAGTTGGTTGAAAATAATCATTGAAGAAATTGATAATTAGGTCAATATTGACTTAAAATAACCCAGTTGTAATGTATTCCACTGAGTTACTGAATGATACATATCTAAATCTCCGAGTAACCGTCCATGTTTACAGATAGTTAGGATGAAATAGATGTTATCAGTGAGGATATTAACCTTTGCTTCAGAAGATAATCTGGCCATCTATTGTAACTCGTTTCCATGGTTACATTTGATGGAGTGTGTGACATTAGAAGTTCATGTACGATTGGTTTCATATATCAAAACTAATATCAAAAAACACTACGAAATGTTTGCATCTTGTCGAATTTCCCTGACTTTCATGTAACATAATCAATAAACATAGACTTTTTTATAGGTCCACGACTGATGAAGCTAACTAGCTAGATAGCGAAACTCTGACAATTAAATACCAAAACAACTACTACAAGGTAAATGATGCAAAAAAATCTGAGATTTTACGGTTGACATTACGGAATGAACTTAGCCAACCGTTGAAAATCAGGAAGCACTGGACAGCTGTTTCGTCCCGGCACGGGACTCTTAAGAAGTGCACATCCGCGACCCCACTGAGGATAGAACTTTAGACATTCACTGGTTATTTAATTAAGACCAGTCTGCATTGTTAACTATAAACTTCAACAATCTCCATAGACCACTTATGTAATAATTAATAAACTGAAGGGCAGAGATTCGGATGTCTGATCATACTAATATAAATCCTGTCTTATTTGATTGGAATCTAGACAGACTATTAGTACTGCTCATCCTTATAGAATGGTTATTAGTCGCAGTTTATATATATATATATATATATATATATATATATATATATATATATATATATATATATATATATATATATATATATATATATATATATATATATATATATATATATATATATATATATATAATAGACTGGACTACTAATGTTGTGAATTGTTATACTATCGAGTTTATAATAGATTTTAACCACATTCTTTTGAATGTTCACAAATCAAATTACAATTTCCACTTACAATAGGCAATGAAGGAGGTTGTAACGATGTAATACCATTCAGGAGTTGAGTTTCTCGTTGAGCAAGCTTTAAATAAATCAAACACAAAGTTAGACATATCAAGAAGGAAGTATCTACACAAAACTGATATGAATAAATTCAAATGAAATCACACTAGACTTATGAAGGAACAAAAGATTAGTGCTGTGAATATATTACACATTATAAGATGTAAGCAATATATATTCCAGTAGATACAATGAGGATACAATAAATTCTCCTAAACTGAGAGCGTTTAAAACATTTAGTTGTCCATGACTCAGTTTACAATTAGAAATAAATTAGCCGGTTGTTGGAAATGTCGAATCCTATTTCCTTATACCATTCAGCTAAATTCTATACATGTAAATATACACCAGCTTCAATCACGGTATAGAAAGAAGAATGTGGCATATTTCTGATTTGTTGTCACGTAAATTTAAGCTGTTTACTTTCCAGCTCGTAAAACGTCTTTAAACAGAATGACGAATATGTAATTTGTGCTACACATTTTTTCTCTCCATCTAGAACACATTCTATTTATTATGGTTATATAGTTCAGAATAATTTTTACTTCAACATGATATTCAACATATCAAAATAACATAAGTCTAGGCATAACCCACTTAGAATATTTGGTGCAACCATGTGAATGATAAATCAGAAGTTGAAAGTATAGAAAAACAGAAGATAAAATTGATCTGTGTTGTTAAGTTAAATACATGGGTCATTTCACCAAAACCAATATTTCATCGCATTTGATAGGATCGTCTAAAATAGCTTAGCAAAGGATAGTGTATAATAATCACAGTCTATAACCTCCAACATTCAAGGTAATCATAAAAAAAAAATTAACAATTTTATACATTTACCTCATTCCCATCATCGACCTGTTTACATAATGTCTGTAATGTACTATTCAATTGATCGATTTCTTGATTATATTGGTCAGCTGTGTAATAACATACTCGAAGAAATTGTCTATGTGAATGGTAAACTCCAGAAGGTAATGTTGGTCTGTAGATTGATTGGGTTTTTTTTTAAAAAGAATTATGAAAGGCAGTTGAAAGAGGGAAAATGGAAAAACAATACGTACGCGATGAACACCAAAGGGTTAATAATAATAATAGTAATAATAATAATAATAATAGTATTATCATTATTATTATAAGCAAACACGGATAGTGGCAGCAATGGAATCCAGAACGCGCGTTCCGTCCTATTTAGGACTCGTCAGCTGGATGTACCTGAATCCTGATATTCACTCTGGGACCCGAACCCAGTACCGTTATAATAATAAGCTAATAGGATAATATTCTCATTTACGAGACCGATGGACCGATATAAGTAGCTTATGATCTAGTATAGATATGTAACAATTTCGCACGGACTTAATCGCACGTGTTCAAATGAAAAAATTAGTAATATTTAATTGCGCAATAACATTGGGTGAATATTGAAGTTCTTGATATTCTCAATCAAATCTCCAACAAGTCGTAAACTGTGTTTTAGGAATAAATGTAAAATTCTGTTGCATTAGCCTTTTTACTTACTTACTTACACCTGTTACCCCTCGTGGAGGAGCATAAGCTGGTCATCAGTATTCTCCATCGAACTTTGTCAATGGGCAATCCTTTCCAGCTGCTATTCTTTTTTTTGATAACTGTTTCCGATTCCTTGGTTTTTCTCTTTTCATTTTCTTTTCAAAATTTCAAGTTAGCGCTTGCCTCATGATACAAGCTGATGATTTCCGCAATAATATGTCTTATCCACCTCCAGCACACATTTTACTAATTTCCTCTTCAGCTGGAATTAGCCTTTGTAAATTTCTTTAAATACATTCTCAAATTGTTAAGCTATATCCTTTGTTCAGTGTTTTTATAATTTAAACAAATCAATGCGCATAATACTTGTTTGGAATTCATAATACATATCAACCTTAATTTAATAAAGGTTACTCAATGACCATCACTATAAACAATTGATGGGTTTTAGAATTAAATTCCAAGAAATTAAAACACAGATTATCATTATTAGATTACTGTTACATGATAGAATAAAATCACTATTCTTAGGTTAATTATAAAATGTTTAAAAGTAGTCATACCTTGTAGTTAATCCCAAATTATTAAAGTATATTGATAACTATACATCCATAATACTCACAATAATAAAAGCGTTAACAAAGGGGTTACTATTTTGATGGAGTTTTGTTCTCTGAGCTGGATGGTTTGATCGTGGAGCTTTCATCGTTCTTCTGAACGACATCATCAGCACAAACTTCAAATAGAAGTGAAGTGTTTGAATTTCTCCATATGTGTTTCAAAGCTTGTTCTGTGAACCTCGATGTTGATTGGTTCTTATTGACCTTAAATTTGTCATTGTTTACTTCTTTGTTTTGGTTGTGTCTCTCATTGTTTTGATTTTTGTTCTTATGTTTGTGCATGATTTTTCTGATTAGTTGATAAATTAGATTGATTTCAATATGTTTGTTGATTGCTGATTGACCTGAGTGCCAGGCTTCTAAAAATTCTCTGGTATTTTTGGAGTTTCCTCTGTCTAAGATTTCCACATGAAATCAAACATCATCTACAAAATAAATTGTGCCAACTGCGAAAAACACTACATCGGACAAAGCGGACGCCCCCTTCACCTGCACCCACATGAACATCAATTAGCAGTCAAACGGCATGATATCTCCTCACTTATATCAATACACGTGGACAACTGCGGACACTCATTCAATTGGAAAATGTGGAAATCTTAGACAGAGGAAACTCCAAAAACACCAGAGAATTTTTAGAAGCCTGGCACTTAAGTCAATCAGGAATCAACAAGCATATTGAAATCAATCCAATTTATCAACTAATCAGAAAAATCATGCACAAACATAAGAACAAAAATCAAAACAATGAGAGACACTGTAGTGGCATTGAACAATAACTGCACAATCCACAAAGCTGAACACGAGACTACTCAGAAAATAGATATTCAATATTTAACGCGGAGAAATACCTAACAATGGAGAAGGCGCGAATAATGAATTGAACAGACTAGAGTTGATCGAACGGCATGGCTCGGCCATGCAGGCGTGGTCCCTGCTGAATGTTATCTTATATCTTCTATCCATATTAAATACATTGTTCTTTCTCTAGCTTAACTTTTTTCTACATCATGTATTGGTAATTGATACGATACAGTGAGTTGGTGTAGTTGATGGTGTGACTTCCACGTAAGATCTTATAGATTAGGCAGTTATATCATGACAAATCTACAAATTTAGGATTAGGTCTATTATTAGAGCAGTACTGATATTATAGTAGACCATAGTTCTACATTGGTGAGCCCAACTAAAGAAACGCAACCTATTATTGTTAATCCTTATATCCACTTTAACCTTCTCAATCGATTTTTATTTGTGTAAACCCATTATTCTAATAGTCCTCTGATTAATGCTCACATGTAATATCGTAATGTTATACTGATTACTTCTCATAACATACTAGCTCAATCGATAATAAAAGTTGATCATCTATATCAACTTATTAGCTTTGATGGTTCGTTAACAAGCTTTAATAGCATTTACATGCTTCAGCGACATAGATTTGTTTAAACATCAAGCTCTAGCAAATATGATCTGTAAGTAGCGTAAATATACATTGACTAACAATGCAATCATGGACTAAATAGTTATCTGGATCTAATTCTCATTGTTCCTTCACTTAACACCTCATCCTGTTTTAAACTATGCACTATCTTGTAATATCTTTTCGTTCGACCACTGCCTGCCTAATTTCATATTCCGAGTTCCATTGCCAAACAACAAAGATGACAGAAACATACGATGACTCATTCAATGGCAGACACACAATTATCTGGATTCATTCGATTGTTCTGATCCGAGCGAGTGGCAAAAACATCAACAGCATCAAGCACCTTGGAATTAATTGCCATACTGCATGTCTTATTCTGGATACTTTTGGATCATTACTACTCCTCACGAATGGCGTTATATATGTCGTCCACTGAATAAACTAATTTTCAAAAATAATCCAGGCGAGTTCAACCATTTCACTTAATGATTTTTTGTACTTAACATGTATATGTTTTCCAGTTGCTTTTGCCATATATTTGTAAGTGTCTCTAGGCTAAATGCAGTAACTTATTATGGAATGTTTATAACGCGTCATATTCCTGCCTGAAGTTTCACAAGCAGTCTTAACTTTAAAATTATTTTTCTGGTCATGTTCATTATTTTTAAATTGTCATATACGTCAACAACCTGCATGTTAACCTGGCCTGTACATATGTTACACTATATCTTCATGTCTTCTAAATTTAGAAATCAGCGAAATCGCCTTTAATATTTATCAATAAACCCATCATAGTCGTTGTTGCTAGTCGTATTTGGGTTTATGGATTGGTTTATCATATTAGCAGCCTCAAATGCGAATATAGTTTAGATAATAAGATTAAAAATTTAGGTACTATCAACTGCACTAGTAAAATAACTAAATCCCTGGGTAGCTGTTGGCTAAACAATCGTTTAAAATCAAAACTCCGTAAACTACTAGCATTAAAACTAAACGAATATTTCTGAATTGAAATTTATAATTAAATTAGGCGTCTCGAATTCTGTAACATTACAAATTTCTGATAATTTCGAGTCACCTAAAGCAACAATGCCTATTTTTCCACTGGCCAATCCTGAATCAACACTATAACTAATTAAACATAATAGTTTCAGGATATCGTCATAAAGCATTGTCAGGACTTGACAATCACGTAATATGATTGATAAAATTAATGAAACTATTAACAAAATCGGTCAGCAAATTTACTTATAATTCCCACTAGTGTTGCTTTTCTTTTATCTTGATTCACTACAGATGATTACAGTATGTTTCTCTATCAGTTGCTCATTCAGTAAATATCTCAAAACCTTGTCAGTCTAATTGATGGTCTAGCGACACAATCATGCATACGAATAATCAGTATAAGCAGTCGAGCGAATCTCCTGCAAACTGAAAACATCAATGTCGAATTTACCCCAACACTGACTAAGGTTCAAGCCATTATCATAGACACGAGTTGGGAGTGTACTCCCCCTAGTTACGACTTATGTTCTCCCTCTTAATCACATGAGCATCACTCACTATTAATCATCTTGTAAAAACTTATTTAGCTAAATACATCTTGCACCACATCACTTAGTAATATGACACATGGGCTTAGCTGATTTTAATAACTTATAACCACTATATCTCAATTAAATCGTATTCTGCCTGCATACGTGCAACTAACTTGTATGTTCAATCAGCCGGCAAGTATAAATATAAATAAATAGTCTGCCACAGATCAGAACATTGAGTCTAGAGCATGTCTCTTACGAATACACTCATGTTCTTAGCTATCTGTCCAAAACTCATATAATTATCACTCATGTATTGAAATTTTGTTTTAATAACCATTCATGTGTATTAGTAGTATTAATAAATTCTATCACGGTCAAGTAAAAATGAGGTTGAGAAAATCTCCCCGTAACTAAATAAACCGTATCAAACTAACTGGAACACTAGTTGGAATTCTTCTCCACGGTAATACTTTTGTTCCTTCAGTTAGCCTACGAATACATATGCAATTGGAAATCAACTCATATGGACAACTTACCGGCATAATCGTTATTCGATTTCATAAGTCAGACTAAAAGTAGTGCTAATATTAACATTTCTGCAATATTCATAACTTTAATATTTCTAAACACAAAATACTTACTACCTATGAGATGGTGGAGAAGATTTGTAGCTCAGGTGGATGATTTTGGTGGAGTTTTGTTCTCTGAGCTGGATGGTTTGGTCGTGGAGCTTTCATCGTTCTTCTGAACGACATCATCAGCACAAACTTCAAATAGAAGTGAAGTGTTAGAATTTCTCCATATGTGTTTCACAGCTTGTTCTGTGCACCTCGATGTTGATTGGTTCTTGTTGACCTTAAATTTATCATTGTTTACTTCTTTGTTTTGGTTGTGTCTTCCATTGGTTTGATTTTCGTTCCTATATTTATGCATGATTTTTCTGATTGGTTGATAAATTGGATTGATTTCAATATGTTTGTTGATTGCTGATTGACCTGAGTGCCAGGCTTCTAAAAATTCTCTGGTATTTTTGGAGTTTCCTCTGTCTAAGATTTCTACATTTTCCCAATCGAATGAGTGTCCGTAGTTATCCACGTGTATTGATATAAGTGAAGAGATATCATGGCGTTTGACTGCTAATTGATGTTCATGTAAGCGTAGATGGAGGGGGCGTCCGCTTTGCCCGATGTAGTGTTTGTCGCAGTTGGTACAATTTATTTTGTAGATGATGTTTGATTTGTTTTCCTTTGTTATTTCATCCTTTGGTTTGCATAGGATTGATTGTAGTGATTTTGTTGGTTTGTGTGCCACACCTATCCCGAAGTTTTTCAGCAGTCTCGTTGCGGTTTCTGATATTCCTTTTATGTACGGTAGGGTGATCCTTTTGTTGATTTTTGTGCTTGACTTGGGTTCTGATGCTGTGTGCCGTTGGTGCTTTTTGATGAAGTTGATTGGGTAGCCGTTCTTTTGAAATATGTCCTTCAGGTGTTTCTCTTCATTTTTTCGTGCTGCCAATGTGCTGCAGTGTGTCCTCGCCCTCTTGAACAATGTGTGTACGCAGTTGATTTTGTGAGCTCTTGGGTTGTTGCTGTTGTAGTTGAGAATTTGATCTGTATGGGTCGGTTTCCTATATACTTGAGTTTCCAGTTTTCCTGAGTCAGTTCTAGTGATCAATATATCCAAGAATGCTAGTTGGTTGTTTGACTCTTGTTCCATTGTGAATTTGATGTCATTGAAAACGTTGTTGATCAGTTTGTATGTGTTTTCCAGTTCATTCTTTTTGACGATGACGAAGGTGTCATCTACGTAGCGAATCCAAATTTTTGGCTTGATCACTGGTAATATCGTGGCTTCTAGTCTTTGCATCACTGCCTCTGCGATCAGTCCTGATATTGGTGATCCCATGGGTGTCCCTTTTGTTTGTTCGTAGATTTTGTTGTTGAATTGAAAATATGTTTTTAGACATAAATCTATGAGTTTCAGTAGACTTTGACTTTGAAGCTTTGTGTATTTGGTGAGATTTGTGTCGTTGTTGAGCAGCAGGGATATAGTTTCTTTTGCTAACTGTTGTTGAATTGAGGTGAACAGTGCTGTTACGTCGAAGGATATCATGAGTTCGTCGTTGTTGATTTGAATATCTTTAATTTGGTCCAGGAATTGTGTTGGGGATTTGATGGAGTGTTTGGCTGAATCTACTAGATGTTTCAGTATTCGTGAAATTTCTTTTGACAAATTGTACGTTGGCGTTCCGGGGAGTGCTACTATTGGACGTAATGGGATGTTTGGTTTGTGTATTTTGGGTCTGCCGTAGAATCGAGGGAGTACTGGTCCACTGGATTTCATTCTCCATTGGTTTTGTTTTGTTATTTCTCCTGCTTTGACTAGTTTGTTTAATGTCTTTGAGATTTGATTGTCTAATTTTTTGACGGGATTTGTGTCCATCAGTTTGTATGTGTTCTTATCTTCTAGTAGTTCTTCGGCTTTGTTGACGTATTCTTCTTTATCCATGATTACTGTGGTGCGTCCTTTGTCCGCTGGTATTATGACAATATCTTTTCTATTTCTGAGTTCTTTCAAGGCCTTTCGTTCTTGTGGAGTCAGTTGGTTGTTTTCTTTCACCTGTTGAGTTATCGGTACTATTGTTTGCCTTGTTTCCTGTTGTGTTTCTTCACTGATTCCAGAAGTTTTGAGTGATGACTCTAGTGCTGCGAAGAACTCCAGCTTAAAGGCGTCGCTTGTATTGTAGTTTAATCCCTTTTGGAGCAGATGTTCTTCCATATTTGTTAGTGGTTGTTTTGATAGATTGATCACGCAGTTGTTTGTGTTTTCTTCCACGGGTGGTTTTGAGATCTTGATTAGTTTTTTCTTTAAGGTGTTTCTTCTTTGTTCTCTGTGTCGTTTGCATGACATCTCGATGGCTGTTGTCACGATTTCCAAATGTTCTGATGTGAGCATCCTTTGTAGCTTTGTCTTTTGGTCCTCTATGACGTGTTGGTATTTGCTGATCCTGTAGTGTGCATCCGTTATCATGAGGTGTACCATTTTTCTTCCACTTTGCTCAGCTATTCTCCATCCTACCTATACGTTAAGTTATTAACTAATGGTTACTAACACGCATCGTTTTATTATTATTATTATTGTAATCCCATTTTTTATAGCTCAAATAATCTTCACCCAAATTGTCATTTTAAGCGTGTTAAGCATGAAGGCAGATTTTTAAAAAAATTATTACATGTATATCCCGACCAGATGCTGCCGCCTTCTTTTTGATTTATCTTTCAGTTTATCATTACCCGGGGGATTCTTCCTAGTCTTAGTAACCTTCGGCGCACGATGACCCCATCATCGAACCAACATCACGTTGATTCTGGTGGGAGAGTAGTGTAGTGGCATTGAACAATAACCGCACAATCCACAAAGCTGAACACGAGACTACTCAGAAAATAGATATTCAATATTTAACGCGGAGAAATACTTAACGATGGAGAAGGCGCGAAAAATGGATTGAGTGAACTGGAGTTGATCGAGTGGCATGGCTCGGCCATGCAGGCGTGGTCCCTGCTGAATGTTATCTTATATCTTCTATTCTTTCTCTAGCTTAACTTTGTTCTACATCATGTATTGGTAATTGATACGATACAGTGAGTTGGCGTAGTCGATGGCGTGACTTCCACGTAAGATCTTATAGATTAGGCAGTTATATCATGACAAATCTACAAATTTAGGATTAGGTCTATTATTAGAGCAGCACTGATATTATAGTAGACCATAGTTCTACAACACAACCAAAACAAAGAAGTAAACAATGACAAATTTAAGGTCAATAAGAACCAATCAACATCGAGGTGCACAGAACAAGCTTTGAAACACATATGGAGAAATTCAAACACCTCACTTCTATTTGAAGTTTGTGCTGATGATGTCGTTCAGAAGAACGATGAGAGCTCCACGACCAAACCATCCACCTCAGAGAACAAAACTCCACCAAAATCATCCACCTGAGCTACAAATCTTTTCCACCATCTCTAGGGGTTACTATCAAAAAAGACGCGTATTTATAAAGCTAATCAGTGATTAAAATAAGAGAATAACCTTTTTCAATGGTGTGAAATATGTTCAATTTACCCTCTGTTCCTTTGCTTTATAAACCAATCGAAAACGTATTTTCCTAAGCATATGTTGAGTCTACACTCTTAAACAAATATTTTAATTTTTCGAATTCAATAACAAATAGTTATTGTTATTACACTAAGCATGTTCTATTGTATGTCTATTACAAACAGTTAGGATATAATCTATTAAAAGAGGTGGGAAAATGAATTGAAAACCTAAAAAAATTATATTACTTTGTTTATACATTACATTATTCAAATAATACCTTATTGTATGTGGTGTGGTGGCGAACAATATACCTCTTCTGGAACTACGTACACCAGGGTTAATGCCAGTATGTATTTCAACTAACGTTTTGTTGTTCTCACGTAACTGACCACTATTACCAGAAGTTATAGCGGATGATGTTACAGCTGCAATCTCTTCTTCAAAACGCGCATGTTTACGTACAGATAAACGATTTGTTGGATTAAAATCATCCGGTAATAAATTTAATGATGATTGGGATAAAATAAATCCTGAAGTGGTAGATCGAGTTTTACCGCCAGCAACATATTGTTTTCGACGTCTACGACCAGGTCCGTTGGAATCTTTTCTTACTTTATTCTGTTCACAGTCTAATACTTGTTCACTCCCTTCAATATTGGCAGCTACTGCGGAAGAAGATGGTGTACGCACTTCTGCCTCGGAATCCGATTGCATACTTGATGTGCCACCACCACCACCGCCAGGTTCGGTGTCTTGATTTGATTCTTCCGATTCCGGTAATAACACACAATCATGCAAAGTATCAAAATAACGTTTGATTTCTGCATCGACTGGATCATTCGTATCTAAATCGATAGTATATTTCTATGTAGAATGAATATATATAGAAAAGAAATGTGAGATGAATTCATTCAACTGGATTTTTTATCGAAATCCTAAAAATTCGCCTACCTATTGAGATGAAATATTCAAAACAAAAGGTAACTAATTATCTGCAGATCAAATGTGCTAAATAACGACGGTTACCTTTTCTAATGTTATGCCCAGACATCATGTAAACAATCTTGACCATAGCCGCTGCTCCGAAACGGTGATCAGGCTTGCATATTGTGATGACTAATCGGGCTATGGCGACTGTAAGACCTGTTTTTTTGGCTCCCTGTTATGACGGGGGTTGCCCAAAGTATGATATTGATACACGGTGTGCTACGCGCTAACCTCCCAATTGACTACTTGAGCAAGAACACAAGAGTGAGCTAGAAAGTTTATTGGGCTACCGAATAAAATGTGTACATACTCATTCACGTACATACCACTCAATCTCTGTTAGTATACAAAGTGCGAAACTACACTGTTCACATTATTTCGATTTACTGTTGGACAGTGACAGTTACTCATATTTTAAATAAAACAAAAATGGTTGAAGAACTTTATTTAATACGAATCGATAATATCACTAACTAAAAATAAAGTATACGACAAAACTATGATATATTGAAATCTAAGCAACTTTTCGGTTTCTATTCATCTTCACTTACTAAGTGCATATTTTTCTAATCAGCTTCAAGCAATACATTTTGTATGAATGGTACATGATACTAGCTGACATCAATACTAAAGTAACCCCCAAATGCTGGTACGGTCAAGGGTAGGGAGAGCCAGCTCTCCCTCTCCAAATGCTCTCAAGTGGCTACGAGCATACAACCACTGCCAGTGACGTCCTACTCACTGCCTTCTCACGGCGGGATTGTTGTGTACAAAGTCGAGAGGACGAAAAGCGAATGTTTGGCGCTTTAATCAGGTTGGTAGATACAAAGGATTCACGTAAGGGAGTTGGAAAACCCTGATTATAAACCAATGGTTCATATTGGGCTCCAGGATTCCGAGGGAACAAAAGGCGTACGAACCGACTGTTGGTCACCGGCTACCATAGAACTGCATCTCCTAACGTTGCTCCACCGCCTTGTGGATTGAACCTCTAGATCTGAGGCTCAGACAGTGGCCTTATAAGAACATCACCTACTTCAGTTTGAGCGCTCGGGCAGTATCCTACTCCTCACACAAATCGAATGAAATGGTATCTCCTTGTAAAAATATTTATGTGTTTAAATAAATAAATACCCTATATTTATATAATTATTCAGTGATCTACAATTTATCATATACAGATATAGGATTATACATTTTGAAAATAAACGTGCTGAAAATGATTCCTTCTGTGCATAAATTTTTCACTATTTGTTATTTATTTATTTATTTGAATACATAAATATTGATAAAAAGGGGCACTGAATACATATGCGGCATACAAGTCACTTGATTTGTGTGTGGGCTATGATACTGCCTGGGTGCCCAAACCGACTTAATAGGTATATTTAAATTTATATCCTTTTAAGTAACAACAATGAAAATATGCAACACATGTAGGAAAAACAAACAAAAATAAACTGCATAATCAAGTGCCTGTCTGGATTCCGTAGCTAAGTGGATAACGCAGTGGGTGTTTAATGTGAAATGTACTGGATTTGAGTCTCAGTGTGAACATAAACACTAAAGTGCAAATAAATCCTGGTTTCGACTGCTAGCCACCATCCAACTCTGCTTATAATGCTTGTAACCTAATGACATTATTGGGGTAATTCTCATAGGATGCACATACACCAACAAGTGCTGATCATATAAACGGAAAGAATCAAGCAATCAATACAAATACACGTTGAAAACTAGAATAATTAATAAAAACAAAACAGCACACAACTAACTTTATGATTATTGGTCAATGTCTTTACAGGGACAGTATCCGGTGGTGGTAAAATGCCTGGGATTAAATAACCACGTTTATACAAACTAGACCATTTAGGTCCGTATAAACCCATTTCATGCAATGTTTGTTGATTGCGTTTATTAAGATAATAGAATAGAATTAATTCATTGACAGTACGATTAGGAAACTTTTAAAGGGAGAGAGAGCGACAACAGTGTAGATATAGTCAAGTGATTATTGTTAAGTATGTATTATTAAATAATTAGCGGAATAACAGGAATGAATTAATGCATAAATCATGTAAATAGATGGATTGTGGTTGGCGGTAGTATTCAAGCCCTCATTAAAATGATATAAACATTATACCTATTGTACGATCTAGTGGATATCTGCACTCATTAGCTAGGTGGATAATCTATACAGTGTTTAATATGAAAGGTATTGAGTTGGAACCCTGATGTAAACATCACCACTGGGATGCAGGTACATTTAAATGAGCCCAAAAAAAGACGGAACGCATCCTGGATTCTATTACTAGCCATAAACCACATATTTTATAGGAACTTGAGACAAAATGATTGCACCAAGGGGTAAAGCTCTAGATACACGTATCCCAAAAGAGATTGGACAATATTCTGTCCTGAATATCAACAACGGGATAATTCAAACCCTTACTAAATATGATATAGACAGATTTATGATTTAAATAAATTTAAGAGAGCTATTTAGATCATGAGTCGGTGTAACTTACCAAGTACAAGCTTATGCATTCAGCATTGTGCCTTATTGTTTACGTCATTGATAGTGATACTACCTCTTCCTATCAGCCTAAACTGAAATAAGCACAGTGAGGTTCTAACCTGTAACCTACTGGTTGAAATTTAAGTGTATCAATCACTAAGTGTTTTTTAAAACCTACCAGACTAACGATATATGTACTGTAGTTTCATGTACAATACTTTGTGGTGAGTTATAATCTTTAAAATACTCACTTATCTAATTATAACGATAGAGGGTTTTACAGTTAAAAAGCACTTAAGTGTCAGATCATGTGAAAAAAACTCCATTGGTTAACTGTTTTAAAGAACCAACTAAATACTGTTTTTTACTATGAAAAACAAGTAAGACCTTATTTCACTGAAAAGATATCTTTTGACTAAATCATTCTTTCATGTTCTCTATCTCAATGAGCATCTTCCGTCTATTTAAAAATTCCAAATTAATTATGGGGAAATATGTAGTATAAGGACAAGTCTATCAGAATTGAAAACGTGACATTTATGTGTTTGCGCCAAATTCAAATATTGCTCATAGAGAGTAGTAGAAATAATTTTGTATGGTGCCCAAAACGTTTAAAATGATTGCAAAAAAACTACACGTTTCTATCACACAGTAAAAATGATAGTGCCAGACGTATCAAACACTCAGTTCAGTCTCTGCCGATTGTATATAATAGGTAAATCAACATTATGCTTAAATCACAATCTTGAACCCTCAATTCTAAAGTAAACATTAACTTGGTGGGACTATATCTTGTGCGCAAATTAAGTAGATAGAGTGTTTGATATTTTTTTAGCAAAATTCATTCAATCATATGAGTATAAACAAATTCTGTATCATACACGATATCAGTTCTTGATGAGAATCCTAATCCTAAGGATTTGGGAGGACAGATAATCTATAACCATAAGGACGAATTTTTATGTCGTTGCTTTACTGATTTACAGGTAGATAAACTTGTAGAAAACTTCATAAATTCATTCAGTACATAGAACCTGTTTATACTTTGCAATATTGTTGTTTTCTTCTCCATAAACCAATCATTTACAAAGGTCAGCTAAAACTTTATCGCGCTTGTTTCAAGTTCTTCCTTATACGATATAATTTTGTCTAATTATACTTGTTTACTTCGATAAATAAAACAATACTCCGACCGATTCAGATTTGATATAATCAATAAAGACGAATTATTATCAGAAGGGACTTTGTGGAGATTTTAGTAATTTCAATAGTTGAAATCATGAGTCAATTGAAGCTAGACCACCATGGAAACCTGGAAGCACTGGAAAACTGTTTCATCCTAGTATGACACTCCTCAGCAGTACGCATCCACGATCCCGCCCCCCGAGAGATTCGAACCCAGAAACTATCAGTCTCGCGCGCAAGCGCTTAACCAACTAGACCACTGAGCCGGCATCCAACAGTGTTAATATCTAAAATCTCTACAAAACCCCTTCTCATAATAATCATCTGCTCAATAGTGACTGACTTCAAGAGGCATTTCCTGGATTTCTAGTGAGAAGCAATGATCAGTGGAGTTCAACCAGGACTGTTGTGAGATATCACCTCATTGAAGACAATGGCGTACGGTGGCGCAGTTTCGTGGATTAATTGAAGTTAGACATTAACACCGTTGGATGACAGCCGGCTCAGTGGTCTAGTAGTTAAGCGCTCGCGCGCGAGACTGATAAGTCCTAGGGTTCGAGTGCTACGGAGGGCGGAATCGTGGATGCGCACAGCTGAGGAGTCTCATACTAGGACAAAATGGCCGTCCAGTGCTTCCAGGTTTTCCATGGTGATCTATCTTCAATTTACTCATGATTTCAACTATTGGAGTTATTATCAATCCATTTGTGACATTTTATGATTTATTAAAATATTAACAAATATATTACTGATTAATGTAGATAAAAATCTCCTTTAATTATGTTTATAAATTAAATAGATACTTACAAGTTTTTTTATTTGATGAAATTGTTTATTGTAATAATCAACAGATATAAAAAATATTCTTCGTTCAGATATTGTCCATTCATATTTGATTGGACTAAAATTGCATAAATCTGATAATGCATGATCAAAATCAGTTTTATGCCATGTCAGTAAAGCAAGAGCTTGTTCTTCTGAATAACTTGATAAAACAAAGTAATATTTCTTACTTTAATGTAAATATATGTAAACAAATAAAGATTATATGATAATTTTTGGCATAGAATTGTGTTGAATTTCATTCAGTTAATAATTTCACAATTAATCAACCACTGAATAGTGATCAATAGTTGCTATGTTCAAAGAGATTGCGAGATCAACTAAATCGACGAACAGAACGAAGACTCAGCGACACAATAACCGAAGAAGTTAACTGTTCTGATACGTCCCAGCCCCACTAACTAAAGGGAGAAGTCCAGGTTCAGAAGAGAGAAAGTGCATTCCACAAGCAGCCAGAAGCATAAACAACAACAACAAGCACAACTCAAGCGTATATACACAGCATAAAAATATTCTTGAGGAACGTCACCAAATGACATATTAAAAGAGACAACGAACTAATGACATTTAAGGTCCTGCTAAGTGCGAAACTCGAATTTCCAAAATAAAATCACAAAAATAAGACATTTACCATGTAAGTTCTGGGGACCTAACATCCTCTACAATAGTCTGTTTGTTTAATCATTTGATCCTGATCGAATTATTGTGATAAAGTTTTTGATTGAGATCATGAACCGATTGATGTTAGACCACCACCTTTGGAAACCTGAAAGCACTGGACGGCCGTTTCGTCCTATTGTGGGACTCCTCAGCAGTGCGCGCCCACGATCCCGCTCGCGGGATTCGAACCCAGGGCCTTCGGTCTCGCGCGCGGACGCTTAACCAACTGGACCACTGAGCCGGCATCCAATGGTGATAGTTTCTAACATCAACCAATCCACGAAATTGCGCGACCAACTTCCGTTGTACTGAGGTAGATACCTGTCTCTATCCGACATGGATTAGCTCCACTGGTCACGGCTTCTCACTAGAACTCCGAGAATTCCCTCACGAAGCTAGTTATTAGTGAGCACATGTTGATTACTAGTATAGGGTTTGTGGAGATTAAGTTTTTGATTGAGATCATGGACCGATTGATCATTAGTCTAAATGACTCAATGTAGTATGCAATATCTATATATGTGATGGATTGCAATACCAGCCTAATAACTCAGTGATAAAGTCTTACAATGAGCAGATCAGGATGTTGCGACTTCTAATCCAGCAAGGACCATTAGATTTTTTAAGATTGTAGATACGCCTTGATGATGAATGGCAACTACTTCCAACCACCTAACAGTTTACAGATTTTTTGTTCAAGAAAAAATTAACAAGCTTTATTACATGTCATCTGAAAGCATTAACTAAAATGGCTTTCATTAAGCATCAATATGAACAGTCAGAACGATTGGAAACAGAATATTAAGGATTTATTTCATTCAATATAGTGTAAATTTTAACGATTGTCAGCAAATGCATGAATATGAAATTTTGTTAACTTATGCATATCATTATGTAAATTGATGTGATTTTTGACGGATCACCTAATGTACACTTGTGATGAAAACTATTTCAAGTGAATAAATGAACTATTAAAAGATTTAGGAAGGCATTTTGTAATTTGATACTGATTATTAAAATTTAAAAATAGGCTAAACTGCTATCAGACACAAACTAGTGGCTTATAAGGTTACGTTTGAGGTTAAGTACTAACTAAGCTTAGATATTTAACTTTCATTCACAAACTTTAAGTTCAGGTTATTTACTACATTGCCATATGGTTACACATGTCATCATTTCATCAGAGTAAACAAAAAAGCAGGCCTTCTTAAGAGTTTTAATCCAATTCAGTCAGTCAGTCAGTAACAACGTAGAACTTCGTACATCAGTTCGGGTTGCCAAACCACATTAGCACAGAGATGCCGTGGTCGATTCAAATCCCGTACTGGTAGAGGTAGTAAAATTATAAGCAGTAATCGGAGACACTAGGGCTTGAAGATTTTATTCAAGGAGTATAATCCAGTGAAATAAATTTGGAAAGAGGAAAGAAGGGACATGAAGAATTCAGAAGATTAGAAGTTGGGAGAACACAAAGAGTAGATGCACCTGCACCACTGCAAACGATTTCGAGACATGTCATTCAGGGTCTCTAACCATCGGTTGCTATCATCTCGTGGTCCCCAACCAGGTAGTCTACACCTACCAACATGACTCAGTCCTCTTGTCAGTGACTTCATGGACTTGTGCCATGTTTTGGTTTGGCCGCCACTAGCTTTCTTCCAACCTACTCCTATACCACTGAACATAGCACGTCGAGGCAGTCGGTCGTTGGGCATACGTAACACGTGTCCCAGCCATCTCAACTGATGAAGTTTCACTACTTCATCAATTGATTTGCCATCCTTACCTAGTACCCGTTTCCTAACAACTGTGTTACTTACTCGATGGTCCCATGATATACGAGCAATGTTTCGAAGACACCTATGATCAAATACTAGTAACCTACGAATATCCTCTACTCTTACCGGCCATGTTTCACTGCCATAAAGTAGGACGGGACGAACTGCTGCGCAGTAAACACGTCCTTTGGTTGATAGACGGATATCTCGCCTACGCCATAAATGACGCAAGTTGGCGAAAGCTAATCGAGCCTTCTGTATCCGTGCTGAGATTTCGTCACACACCAGACCACAAGGGCTGATGAAACTTCCAAGATAAGTGAAGAGATCGACACACTCAACTACTTCAATCCCTATCACTAGTTCGGGTGTCGATGTAACCCAATCCTGAAGCAACATTTTGCATTTCGAGGGAGAGAATCGCATCCCGAACATGCTTGCATTGTTGCTTAGAGTGGTCAGAAGACTCTGCATTTTGTCAGCGTCTTCACCAATTACGTAACCATTTGTGGGTTATTTTTTTGTCATAAATCCATACTTATTGTAGAAAGAGATACTGTCAAGAATGTTACAACTACGGTATTTTTGGCTCGAAACAAAATTTTCCATTGATCAATCTTTATTTTAAGCATGGTTTTATTTAAAACAAATCAAATGGTAAAGTAATTAACCTAGATTAACTGAGGTATAAGATATTAATCAATCCACACCACAAGATGATCATGAAACGAGTCTATAAATGGTTACATCACAAAACATACGTATATGTACTAAAATCCCAGTGTATAGTAGACATTTAAAATTATCTACTACACAGAGAAGTTAAGATTTGATCTAAGTCAACCACAAAACAATTTAATACATATTGTCATACATAAATAGATATATTAAGGCTGGTTAGTTTACCCATATTTTTCAGTAGCTGTATTCAAGAATTCCTCTAACTGATTATGGAGACTAACAGGTATTGGAAGCCATAAGGCAACTCCTCGATCTGGTTGATTCAAAACGCTTGGAGGTGGTTCACCATTGAAAAGCGGAAGATCAGCTTGAAAATCTGTGCCAACTCGAATAATTGCATCTACAAAGTAGAAAAAAGCACCTTCAGTGATGTAAAAAATAAATTTGCCTGAGATTTCAATTGGAAATCTCTTACTGTTGTGACACCAAACTGATGTTAAGTTATTTTGATATGGTCTAAGCCGACAGAAAATAAGAGAAATGCTAGTTTGCAAACAAATAAGAGGACTAGGTTATATCTACGTTTGAAGTGGCAGTCCCCCAATGTAAATAGTAGCTAAGCTGAGAAAAACTCAGATAAAAAATACATTTAATTTCCATTAGACAATAATGTTCCAGATTAAATGATCACACAGAAAGATATCGAAGTTATATTTTAAAATGAACACGTAGAGTACATGTGAAGGAGAAACAGACAAGTGGGGAGTGATAAGATATTGAATACTCTGAGTAAGATAGGGTAAGTATTGACAAATTGTAGTTGTAATTAGTTTTTATATTTATTCAGATATTCATAAATGGGACTGTCAATGGTTAAAAATGAAAATTTTAACATCCAAAACGCAAAACTTATGGGACAGTGTATTTCGTGAATTCTTAAGAGCATCAAATGTTGGAAAAAGGGTTTTCTCAGTAAGGTTCCACGTATCTGAATAATTTATTTATTTGGACACAAGGATTGGGACAAGGGAACACCAAATATATATGCATCACACAACAAAAATGAGATTATGAAGAGATAGAGAATGTGAAATGTGTATGACAAAAAGAGAAACAACAATGAACAGAAATTAGTGTGTGAGAGTGAAATAATAATAATATTACTAATAATGATAATAATAATGGGAGAAACAATTCAGTTAGGAAAAATACAACCAGAAAGAATCCTTTCAGTTAAAGAAGTAACGATTTCTTTTATGAAAAAACCAAAAATAAAGTTACAGCAGGATTGCCAGTGGCTTGTATTCTAAGCCACTTCTGATAACATCTCAAGCCACTGTATTGCACCATCACTAGAACCCCAACCAGGAGGTCGTGGAGGGTCCACAAAAATCAACCATATACAGTTCTTCCGTACCACGACACCATGTTGTGCACTAACCACCTCAGCTTTTTTCAACCGATCCTAGTGCCGGCAAATAATGAGCGATGTGACATCCACCGGACCTCGAAATCACTAACTTGGTGTTGGCCATGGTTGTTAAAAATCATTCTGAGACAACGATGACCAAACACAGAGCTGTCTGACATTCTTGAATCGGAAAGGCCATATTCCACAAACACAGCAAAACTGCTCTCAACGATGAGTTTTAGATTCAACCTTTTATGGATATACTCGCGAAATTTAACAGAACGACTAAAAAACATGAAAACTCATCGGCGAACAAATTTGTGGAATAACCCGGTGGCTAAAATACAATGTAGTAGGAGACCAAACTATCAAGTTAGACAGTGGAATTATAGTAAAACTTCGCTCAAAAAGCATTGACTTAAGTTGTAAGAAAGACACTGTGATAACATGAAAGATCATTAAAATGAGTAAAGAAAACAAATCACAAGTAATAAACGGTTCAGAATTTCTAGTTTCAAAGAGATTTGTGCAGTGAAGACTGAAGTTACGAAGTCTATACTTCTGTAGGTTGATCTATTCATACCCATACTTCCACAGACATAACCCTACTTCTTTTAGCATCAAAATAAATCAACACAGGAAATCAGAAATGATCTGAAGATACCTAGGTTTAGAAACTTGTAACCTAGTTATAAGCTAACTCTTGAAGTCATGCTTTACAGCGAGACAGTATAAGCTGACCCATTGCTACACAGCTTACTCGGAAATCGATATAAAATCACATCTAGGATGCCAGTAAGAGGTTTGGGAGAGACTTAATTTTAAATGTCAAGCAGTATTTTTGCTTTCGTACTTTTATCACACTAAAAACATATTTACCAATCTCGAACATTAACTAATGTAAAGTCCGGTTTTTCTTAAGTTTTGTGTATAATTTGGACTCTTGGTTTATAGATCTTTGATAGAATTTAAAGCAAATTTCTGAGTATTTTTAACAATTTCTAATGTATGAGATTACGTTTTTAGTTTTCTGCCATCCTGATATAATTTTTAACTTTGTGGTTATATGTTTTTCTGCTATGGAGAGCGACAGTTGTGTTGGATATTATCACAGGATATTTAATAATCCTACGATATATTGTAAGAGAAACTGTTACTGGCTTAATATTTCTCTGTTTCGCTCGTTCTTAATTCAGGAAGCTAACGACTTGTTTTTGATAAAAGAAACTTCTATGAATAATAAGATTGGTACTGTCTCACAATTACTAGTAGAAATTCTATCAAGGGTTACTAGAGGGTTGCTAGTGAACCTTGGTGGAATGCTTATAGACCACTAGGCTAGTTAAGAACTTAGATGTGATTATAATGAAGTTGATACTTGTTAGCCATTCTTGGGGAGGTGATTCCGAAGTGAAACCGTTCCTTTTGGATCAAAACCCGAAAGAACCCTACTTAAATCGTCACGTAATTTAAACAACAATGAACGAGATGGAATCCTATGTATAGAGAAGAAAAGTGGAAAACTATCACAATCAACCTTCAAATTATTATCGAAAAGTCTATGGTAGAAAAGTGGCCAGATAAAGACTCATTCTGGTGGAGGGAAAACCAGGCTAATGGTCAAGTAAGTAAAAAAACAAATCGTGATTCAAAGGAAACAGAAGATCCAAAAGTGAGAAACATTCATAAGCACTGATGACCTACAAAATCACATAACCAACGGAATTCACATTTACAAGATAAACTAAACAAAATCCGAGTCTATCGGCTGAGACGAAAAAGCCATGACTAACTGCAAAGGATCAGCTTCTACGAACCTTTAAACCTTACAGTCGCTCCATTAGGCATTAGAGTTTGAGTAAATGTTATTTTACTCTACGTCTGCCAATGTAAACAAAGTTTGTAATATTGGATTCAGTTTGCAAGTTAGGGGTCAATATATAGGGATTATACAAACAGAAAGGTTCGAGGTTATGAATTCATAATGATATCAGAAGCACAGCACATCTACCACAAAGATCTACACATGTAAAAGCCGTCTTAAAAAAACTTTCAAACAGTTTGATGACGAAATACCCAAGGCTTTAAAGCCACATAGATGAAATCACAGTGAGTATCGCTGTATAATGAAGAACTTGTTTTACAGACTATGATATCGGTGAATGAACCAAAGTTGACTTTATGTTAACTACAAGAATTCGCAAATGATTAAACGTTCGACATCCAAACCTTGCCAATCTTTTCCTTAATATGGTATATATACACCATCTGTTAAATATATTCAAAACGAGTTGGACCTCCACTGTATCACAAACTGCAAGGATTAATATAGGTCGACAGACCTGCTATCCTTATTACTGAAGAATGTATAGTTAGATCATAATAACAGAGCAATAATTGCTATGATTCCGGACAAAATAATAATGATCTTCGGGGCAACAGCATAAGTTAAAACAATGATTGAGTTATAACTAGTTTTTATTTTAGCTTTTTCGTCGTCCAGTTAACGATTAGAACAAAACATGTCAAACAAACGAACGGCGCCACACATGCTACAGTTGACAAATATACGTATATGGACAGAGACGTAAAACAAGAAATTTACTTTCGAAAGCATCTTGGTCAGAGTTCGAAAACGAATGTGAAAGGCGACCACGAGTTAACACATTACTCATCTGTAGTGTTTAGTTGTCTTGAAGGATGACCTTGAAGTTGTTATACATGCGCTATTTTCAATGACCAATAATTAAACTGATTCGGCAATCAGCTAACAAATTTACTAGCTCTGAACACTATATAAATTTTATCTCATCCTGATGATTATACAGTAAATTGACGATGTAGCATCTTCTTGCGTCCATGAGTTCATCAACTGTAGTGGTAAAAAAAATCAGAAACCTGAATTATTTCATCTTGATTTTTAGCTTTCCGACAGGATTTCTCCAAGTAGAAAATAGATGAATAATCTTAAATAAAAAATCTCTTAGTCTACAGGGTTTTAAAATTTTTGTAAGAAAGGCCGTATAAGCCCGGATGGGTTACACACCGGTTTCATTTATGTAACCTCCCTAAATAACACCTATTAGTGTAAACCAGAAGTATGGAACAGTTATCTCTTTCCTAAAAACAGGTCCTAGAAAAAATCCACAATGTTACTGAATAATTACTATTTTATTGTGGGTGTGAAACCTCACAAGGGATTGTAAGAAAGACCGCAATGAAAATGTACAGATTTATTACTGAGGTTTTCTGCTTGAAAAGACTTGTATTTTGTACATTTGTAGTGTCTTACATAGACTTCTTTAGATGCTTACATGAATAAAGCCCAACATTTGAATAAGCAAATGAATATATTCTGAAGACGGAATGCTCAATTTCGAATGTTTAAGACTCCGGTCGTATCCCATGACTTACCATCTTTACCCTCTTTATTTTCTCTTTTCGATCATTACGAATCTTTCGCGTTTCCAGATCAGTATGTGAGGGTATTCACGTATGTCAATCTCCATCTGTACGTTGGTTGATCGCCTGTCTATTTGCTTGTATACGACAAAATATTTCCCTCATATAAATGTTGGTTAATGCTCTACCAACTGTATTTTGGATAGAAAGTCGAAAATTAGGTTGCGTTCATCGATTTAATTCTAGAGCTTGTTACCATGACTATGAATGCCAAAAGTAAATTCTTACAAAATATTTGTATTCGATCTTTACCAAAACACTTGATAAATGGATTTAGACAGCGTTGAATATAAAAAAGCTAGAGAGTCACATTTTGTTGTATCTGAAGAAGATTAAATCATGAGTAACTTTTGTAAACTTTTTATGAACTGTAGTCACATATGTTCTTATTTTTTAACTATTAGGTAACTAGAGTGGATATATTCATACTTATCATAACCCTTCATTTGAATAACTCGCTACTATTATACGATTTACCTTTCTTAACTTATTCTCAATTTATCAGTTACAGTATCCCACACTCAAAACCACTTTTTGCTTGATCTTGTAAATCTGAATTGGACGGGCATGATGCTAATATGCATAAGATCAATAAAGACTCAGAGTTGACTCAAGGCTGATCGTGCTGGATAACGCGTTATTGGTAACATTCGTCTGTGTCATGATTGGTGATTTTGCCTAGTGATATTTGACTGGCCATAGAACATTACACATTACATTCGCCATCAAGCACTATTCAATATGCTCACCAAAAAAACCTGTACAAGTAGATACTTTGTACCATGGATGACCTGTAGAATTCAGAAGTTCAGACTGCTCCAAACTGAATAGAGAGCGCCTGTGTCCAATTTTCAGAGATAGGCATAAGTATATTTCTTGTGTTAATCATTCAGGGGCAAGAAAGAATATAACCCTATGTGCACCAAAAACTAGAGTGCCATAGAAAACAAAAGTTTGAGAGTCATAGAACACTTGTCTAAGCAAAATAAATAATTTGTTAATGGTCGGTTACATAGAAGACGAATTACCTATAAATACTGCCCTTGAAACTGGTGTCCACCTTGGTGCATAAAGGCGCTGCACTAGGTTTGACAATATATGTATTACTTATGAGCGGTCTGCTGACTGCCGTCATTTCTCATTGACCACTTATTATGAACGACGTCAAAACTTATGAGATAGCACAAGCTTGTCTTAACAGTGCGTTAAATCACTCTATTACTTGGCTGATGTTTATTACTGTCTTTCATTTATCAATTTGAGCAAATACATGCGATGAACTACGAAATAGATAATAAATAATTGCTGTTGGTATGTAGTTTGACGGAATTAAAATAACACTGAACTCCAGTGCCACGATGACTCAGGTTGGAACGCTCATCTCTGAACGTTAAATGTTGATAAAGAATGGTAAAATTTTGTAGTGACTCACTTTTATCACGAGAACACGATAGGTTTAATGAAAGCAATTATTATTATAACCAACTGTACCAGTGCTTGATTTAATGTGTTCTTTGTTTAACTGTGCTAATTACAGCTATATTGTGCTTCCGTTATTATTCTTACACTTTGATTGTGAACTCGCGCGAATTCGGTTACTCTCTGTAACCACGCTTGTATCTTGGCACTATCTCGGTATTCTTTCGATACCACGAGATCGCCAGCAAATATATCTCGACTTGTCTCTTTAACTGCCTTCTGATATTTCGCTTCCCGGGGATTTTATGGATTTATTTGGTCAGTGTTTCTCTGTAGCTGTGTTCATAGTCAATTTTGACTCGACACCAAGCTACAAGTTAATAAAGGAGCAACTCGAAGATTTGACATTCAAAATACTTATACCTTCTTAGTTGCATGTGAATGAAATTTCCTACGGCTTAATAATAAGGTCGAAACTTGCTCGCTCGTATTCTGGCCGTTTGCAGAATATATTTTCCATACCAAGCTTGAACTTCTCCTTCTAGATAGCGGGGCTGGGACGCATCAATAGTTGGATTTCTGGTCTTTGGTCACTGAGTCTTGTTTTCATTCACAGATTAAGTGAACTCGTGAAGCTTCAAACCTAACGCTGAGAATAAGGTATTTTTTGAATATAAAACACTCCCCAACAGAGCGGACAAAACGGCAGCCCTCAGATGGACAATTACCCAGAAACAAATGAAATGTCGGAACTAAAAAAGATAACAAACCTAAAGTGAGTTGAAACTAGTTCTTTTAACTTTCCAGACCTCAACATAAAATCCAGTTATGCCAACACTACGAACTCATTTAAAGTAATACACGCTCAACAAACATCAAGCATTTAAAATGCAGAACCCCCGCTTAAACAAAGGCACTCAAGGTCGGCGAAGCAGATTTGACTTGGTCTCAGCTTTGCATCCACCTACTCTTATGTAGCTTTTTAGTCAGTTAAAAAGGCACACGCAACTCTGAGCATTCTACACGACGTATAGACTTGGAATTTGCAAATGTAATAACTAGTTGAAAAATATTGCATAAACCCAACTACACAAAATATAGATTTAAAATCACATAAATGCCTTAAAAATAAAGAGGACCTACGTAAATCACCATATTTACCACTCCTAGTCTATAACTAAACCTAAATAAAAATTTATTTAGAGATATGTCCATTGCAACGCAGTGTAAGGTGAATAACACGAATATCATGAACCTTGAGGCGTGAAATTAAAACCTCACAAAAATTCTTCAAAATACTTCCTGCACCCACTATACCACGAAAATAGTCACATAATATTCTTAGTGGTTGTGATGAAAACTAACTAAAACCAACACCACACCTACTTACTCAGGCCCCATATATCAGACATATCTAGGTGAATCTCTAAACTTCGGGTCGAATTAAAATGCGTCATAAAAACTGCTATTGATGGAAAATGTCCTAGGCAAATCTTACGACTTCAGCATTTTGAGAGAATCTAGTTTTACTAACAGCACACTATCTTTACATTCTCGAGTGTGGACTAACAAGATATCGAAACGAATGATCTCGAAGATTCAGACGATGTAATTAATTCTTCTTGGAGAATGAAAACAATACTTGTATTAATAAGTGATGACAACTGTATTTTCGAGATCATGGTTGTTGATAGCTAATCAAAACATTGGTGCAAAACTTATTTTAGGACTTGACAATTCTGTTGGCGAAAAATTTTCTGAGTATGACTCATCCCATCTGCTTCCAGTCCAAACGTTCAGAACGATTGGCGGAACATTTCAGCTGACCTTCAGCTACCCTACAACTACCCTCCAATCCCAGACAGTGTGAATGGAACATTGAAGTAGGTCCCCCAACTTTAGCAGAAGTTCAAAAGCCTATAGTTAATCTGAAACAAGGAAGAGCAGATGGATTGGCTCCAAGGTCTTTAAGGATGGTGGTCCAATTTTAGCGGTTAGGTTGACTAATATTTTAGCTAAGATCTGGGAGTTAGATGTTATTCCATCTGACTGGTCGCCATCACTTATCGTCCCAATATATAAGAAAGGATCAAAATCATCTTGTGACAACCACAGAGGGATTAGTTTAACAAATATAGTATCTAAAATACTAGCCTCAATAATAATCAGACGCTTAACTAAGACTCGTGAACTGCAAACACGAGAGAATCAAGCTGGCTTCAGACCTGGTCGTGGCTGCATCGACCACATATTCACCATTCGTCAAGTTCTAGAACACAGGCATACTTGTCGGCATCCGACAATGGTGGTCTTTCTTGACTTAAAGCAGCATTTGACTCTGTAGATCGCGAGATTCTGTGGCAGTGTCTGTCATTGAAAGGCATACATCAGAAGTACACAAACCTTGTAAAGGCTCTTTACTCGAACACTACTAGTCGAGTCAGAGCTTATGGCGAACTGTCATCTAGTTTTTCAAACTCAAGTGCTGTCCGTCAAGGCTGTCCACTTTCTCCATTTCTTTTAACTTCATCATCGACCTACTGATGGAAATAACATTCTCGTCGACTGAATTCTCAGGTATTGATCTCCTTCCAGGAGGTCCGCTTATCGACTTAGAATACGCAGATGATATAGTTCTGTTTGGTGAAGACGCTGACAAATTGCAGCCTTTTGGTAGCACTAAGCAACAATGCCAGAATATTTGGAATCCGCTTCTCTCCCTCTAAATGCAAGCTGCTGCTTCAGGACTGGTCTGCGTCAACACCTGAACTAAGGATAGGGAGTGAAGTAGTCGAACGTGTCGACAGCTTCACTTATCTTGGAATTCTGATCAGCTCTAATGGGTTGGTATCGGACGAAATCTCAGCACGGATTCTAAAAGCTCTTTTGACTTTTGCCAACTTACGTCACCTATGGCAAAGGTGAGATATCCGTCTATCAATAAAAGGACGAGTATACTGAGCCGCAGTCCGTTCTGTTTTACTTTACGGCAGTGAAACATGGTTTTTAAGAGTAGAAAACACCCGTAAGCTACTAGTATTTGACCACAGATGCCTTAGAAATATTGCTGGCGTCTGTTGGGATCACCGGGTAAGTAATAGGGAGGTCCGACGCAGGGTATTAGGTAATGATGGTAAATCAGTTGACGAGGTTGTGAATCTTCATCGACTGAGATGGTTGGGCCACGTGTTACGTATGCCTGAACACCAATTACCACGACGTGCAATGCTAACGGGTGTAGGGGATGGTTGGAAGAAAGTCAGGGGCGGCCAGACCAAAACGTGGCATCAGTGCTTGAAGTCACTAACTGCTAGTCTGAGCCATGTTGGTAGATGCAGATTACTTGGTTGGGGTCCGCATGACTATCGTAACCGATGGTTGGAGACTCTTAGTTACATGGCTCAGAATCGATCACAATGGTATAGGTGTATACACTCTCTGTCTTCCCTTAAACTAAGAGATTAAAATCGGTTCATATCTTTCTTTGTACGAACTAATTCTCTGTTCCGGTACTATAACCTTATTGCAATCTTTTATATATTACCACCTCTGAATTAATTACTTTTATGGACCCGGTGTCCATCTTGTTGTGTTAATAATGTATGGCAACTTGGACCGATGCATATATGTGCTTGGTCCTACGTTGTAGCTGACTGACTGACCTCAGACAAAGGTGTCCTTTAAACACAAAACACACTGGATAACTGTAGTTCAGAAAGCAATCTAACGAGCATAACACACTAGTGATATTAACGTAAAGATATTTCACCTTCCGAGATGGACCTCGACAAGTTTACATACTTTTATATCTCGTGGGTTTTATTTGTTATTCTGAATTAGATCGTAAGCTTGTCATTGTAGTCACCTGCTTGAGGTACTCAGAAACTACAAGACAAATGCAACTCAACATAGTTAATATAAGATTAGTAATTCATAACACACCAACTAAGATATTTTTGAACTACATAATTAAAAACATCACTTGCCTAACATCTATGATCCGAACGAATCAGTTTGTACTTGAACATGTAGAAGATTTATTGCTGAGATTTAGATCTATTTATTTATATCATAATTTTTCTTAAAAAATCCCAACACATTCCTATTTAACTACGGCTACTTCTAACCATAAAACTAGGAAAATATATTATTGACTATCCTAGATTATCGTTTCACAAAAGAACCCATCAAAGTAATAATCAAATACTCATATGAAACAAAAATAAAAACATAGATATACATGAAATGTATTTACACCACATAATCCCAATACGTTTTTTTAAAACAAAGGAAACTCAATATACTTTGTCCAAACTTATAAAAATACAACGTACTGTACTAAAAACAGGAGTAATAAAGGTGAATAAATAGTTATGGTCTTATTTTAATAAATAATCCCAATGATGGATCAGTGACATGCCATCGTGATGCTTCTAGAAAATTGAACACTTCATCTAAATCATCTACATGTCGTGGACGATCACAAGCTGATGATAAAACATGTGGCTCTAAATAATAAATTTTGAAAAAAATTAGGAAAAAATTTAACATTACAAACTAGTAATGATTAATTTAAAGCATCCTTCTTTGCTAATGCCAAAAAAATCTAATTAAAAACTGACTTGCCATAGTAAATACGGTCGACTGGTTTAGTCAGTTAGTAACAACGTAGGACTTCGTACGTGCATACATCAGTTCGAGTTGCCATACCACACCAGTACAGAGATGCAGTTGTCGATTCAAATCCCGTACTGGTAGAGGTAGTAAAAGTATAAGCAGTAATCGGAAACACTAGGGTTTGAAGACGTTATCCAAGGAGTATAATCCAGTAAAATAAATTTGAAAAAACAGGGACATGAAGAATTCAGAAGATTAGAATTTGAGAGAACACAAAGAGTGGATGCACCTGCGCCAGTGCAAACGATTTTGAGCCATGTCATGACTGGTTAATTAATTTATAGTAATTAAAAAAAACAGTATTGAATAACTATTACTTAAAGCTTTATTTCATATTCTGTGATAAATGAGTATAATAAAACCCATAACTATGCATATTAGACTTGTCAGTACACGATTATTTGAACTCTAGTCAAGTGACCACTACCCCATAATATTTAAAATAATAATCTAATGTTTAAGAGGAACAAATGTCAAGAGAAAGAAAAACCGGTTTGCACGAAGTTATTTGTATTCAAAGTAATAAGTTAAATGAGGAGTTAACAGTAACACTTTATATCAACACTATTAGATCAATCCATCTAAGAAAAAGTACGTAACTATGTTTTTCAATGGTAAACCTGTTAAGCTGCGAATTGATACGGGGTCTGACATAACCTTAATTTCTAGGGAGACTTGGATAAAACTCGGTCGACCTCGATATCACCGTACATACTATAACGCTAAGATTGTGACAGGAATTAACATTACTCTTCTTGGAGAAATGCAGCTATCTCTTACGTTCAGTGACAAGACTATGACCGGAAAATGTTATGTATCTGGAACCTGTCATACCAACCTATTAGGTATTGACTGGATAGACAAATTTGGTTTATGGGACCTGCCGTTGAGCATTGTCTGCAATATGATTAAATTACCAGCCAAAACAATATTTGGTCGACCAATTAGAACATTTTCTGGTGCTTTGAACCCTAAAGACAGAATGAATGGACTACAAAAAATAAGAAAGGGAATCGCCCGAAGATTCGAGAATTTAAAGCAGGTGACTTAATCTATGCACGTGGTTTCCGGCCTGGAAAGCCAAAATGGATATTTGGATGTATTAAAAAAAGACGTGGGACGGTATTGTATGAAGTGATGGTCAAAAATACACTAATCATTAGACACATCAATCAACTGCGAGACAGAAAAAATGTTAATGAGTCACCTAATGCCAAACCTTTACCAATGGAAGTATTATGTGATATATTTAATATTCCACTACCACCACAAGTTGGGATGAGAAAAAATGAGCTGGAATCAGAAGCTAGCCGAAGATCATTAAGGGAACGAAAACAAACGGGATTTTTTCAAATAGACTCAAAAGTGAGGTCGTACGATCAAACTTCGCAAGGGAGGTGATGTGCGGACGAGAATAATAATGATTAGTTGTCTGTTTAGTCAGACATGTAAATAGTCTGACCGGTGTCAGATGAGTTATATATCCCTCTATCCTTATTATTATTGTGACTCTCATTATTGATTGTTCATTGTTGTTGGATTGTGTCGGGTTGTGGTCAGGCTAATCACGTGTTCTTGATTTGAGTTGTGTTGACGTCCTGTAGGATAGACACTAGGAGGGAATCTAGTGTAGATACTCGTTTAAGGTAAATTAACGTCCCATACGTGTAAACGTGGAAACTCATCCGTTATAACATTATTCGAAGTAAAATAGAGCGTTACAACAATAAGTCATCCGGTTTTTTAGGATCCTGAAGCGCCTCTATCCCGATGGCACAGAATAAGGATTTGTCATCAATACGAGCAGCCAGTGCTGAGATAATTTACTTAGAAAATACGGTAACTAGAAACAAACAAAATCTTGTTAGATAAAAGCTCAATGTCTATTTATCTTTCAACGATTTACTGAGAAACAGTGATCCTTAGATTTATCGAGCTACAGAGGGAAACAATGAAAATAATACTGTGAATGAAGTAAGCAAAGGAATTCAAAATCACTGACTAGATAGTAAAATGTGATTACTCAGAGGGATTACAGAGACTTGTCCCGACCACACAAAGCGAACCCCTACGGCATTAAAATTGAATATTAAAAGTAAAGTGAGCCCTGAACTGCAGTGATTCTTTACTAGATAATAGTTTCATACAAAAATAAATTACTAATTTATGGGATGGTGATATAAGAATACCTGGGGCATATTCATGTGAGCCGGTGCCTTGCTGAAGTGCTCTAGCATATAAATGTGAGGCAGCAGCATCGACGAATGCATGCTGTTGAACTGTAGCATCGCCTACAAGCGTACCACCACCGGCAATCGATGTTATTCCAGAATTAGCTAAGTCGCCATTTGTAGATGATTCACTGGAATAAAACTGGGCTGCATATTGAGAAGCATAGTACTGTTGATAGTATTGTTGATAAGCTTGATAATATTCTGCTTGAGCTGCAGAATTCCCCGTTACAGCAGCCGCAACTGCAGCAGTGAATGGATCGGGCATACCTAAAAAATGGTAGCAAGCAGTGAAGTCATGATTAAAACGCATAATCCTTAAAAAACAGTACAAAATCGAGATTACACCACACCGAATGAAAAAACAAACTTGAAAAAGAACAGCTACGTCTGATTTATCCATATTTTTGAGTGATTTAACGTTCTAAAAATTTAAATTGCTGACAAGTATTATATGTGGAAATCTTATTTTAAAAATTTGTTAGGCAAACATAAAATTATCAGAAAGGGTCTTGTAAAGATTTTACAAATTTCACTGGTCGAAACCATGATTCGATTGAAGCTAGACCACCATGGAAAACCTGGAAGCACTGGAAAACCGTTTCATCCTAGTATGACACTCTTCAGCAGTGCGCATCCACGATCCCGCCCTCTGCGAGATTCGAACTCAGGACCCATCAGTCTCGCGCCAGACACTTAACCAACTAGACCACTGAGCCGGCGTCCAACGGTGTTAATATCTAAAATCTTCACAAAACCCCTTCTCATAATAATCTGCTCAATAGAGACTGACTTCAAGAGGCATTTCTTGGAGTTCAAAAGAGAAGCCGTGACCAGTGAAGTTCAACCAGGTTTGAGATGTCAACTCACAGAAGACAATGGTGTATGGCGACGTAATTTCGTGGATTAGTTGAATTCAGACATTAACAGCGCTGGATGACGGCCGGCTCAGTGGTCTAGTTGGTTAAGCGTCTGGCGCGAGACTGACAGATCCTGAGTTCGAATCCCGCGAAGGGCGGGACCGTGGATGTGCACTGCTGAAGAGTGCCATACTAGGACGAAACGGTTTTCCAGTGTTTCCAGGTTTTCCATGGTGATCTAGCTTCAATTGACTCATGATTTTAACCAGTGAAACATAAAATTGTCAGAGATGACCAATTATGTACGTGGGAGTATAAGTTTACTCAGTTTAGGCAACTCAATGCAATCTTTGGAACCAACTCGACAACATTAGTTACTTGAATGAGTTGTAAGGGAAGACCTAAGTTTTTAAAAAACTAAGCAAAACTTCTATTGCAGTGACTAGATGAGAATATTTAAACAGGGAGAGCGAACTTTCCTCAATCTTGGCTGCACCAGGACATTTGGAGGCACGTTGGTAAAAAAAAATAGATGGGATACAAAATTTCGGGAAGTTTACGATGAATTATCTATGTACTTCATTCGGCCTTAAATCAAAGAAAATGACTCTCGTTGTGTAATTGAAGGGAGTTATGATTTAGTTCAACTGACTTCAAGTTTTCATGCGAAATCATTTGAAGAATTGTTTCTCACTAAAATTGAAACCTTTGTCAAGAAAACATAAGCAAGGAATGAAGCACACATAGGTTAATTAGATTTGAGTATTCTGACTGAGTCGGATTTTGTTCAACGGTTTGATGAATGTTTGGAAGACTGGTGATGCATAAAGACGTAGATTAGTAAGGGGTAAAAACTAATCTGATTACATATAAAGAGTTAATAAACGTTATCGGATTAAAAACACTCATAACTGCTAATGACAAACTGTGATTAATAAGTTTTAATTACTTACCACTCGGAACCACTGAACTCGTCTCAGATGCTGTTGTAGTAACAACCAAACTTCCATCTGCATTATAACGCTTCGGAATAGCGAGACTCACTCGAATCGGTTTATAGCCTAAACCACAATAATTTTGCATTTCAATCAACGCTTTATCCATATCAGATTCAGTGAGGAAACGAACAAAACCGTATCCACGAGACTTGCCATTTGTCATCACAACTATTAATTACAATGATTAGTAAGAACACACTTCTACAATGATAGCTACCTTTAGCTGAGCGGCATGTTGGATATTTTTTAAAAGCATTGAATAAAGCAAGATCATCAACATCTTCTGTTAGTTCACCAACAAATAACGAACATTCATTACTAAAAGGATTAATATTATTTAACAGATCCATACCTAGAAGTGCTATCTTTCCCGTAACTAGCGTGATTAAGTTTAAATCTTCTGGTCTATAAAAAAATCAAAGTAATCAAATAAATTTAAAATGTTCTTATCCACAAAAAGCGGGTTACAACATGAAGTTAGTTTTCATTACAGAGTGACATCAAACCCAGATCAACAGTGAGAACTAGGAAAGACTGAGCAGTTGTATCGTTCTACTTCGGGACTTCTTATTGACTTATACGGGATCAAACCCACAGCTTCCAGGTTTTATCAGGAGTACAACAATTTTAGACCAGCAATGTGTAGGGATACAGTGGTTCACATTTGCAATTTAAATAAACTTAAGATACTGCGCGATTACAACTATTAATTGCAATGTGATATCTGTCACACCCGATAAGACTGAACTCAGTAACAAGTATATTATCGTAGACCACGGCCCAAACTTAACGCATTCAACGCTAGGTATAGGCTGACAGTCTAAACCGAGTGGAGCAGTCGGCGAGCACTGCTGAATAATCTCAGTGTAAAATGCTACCTGGTTTTTAATGGTTCTCTAACCGATACCAAACTATAGTAAAAGCTAGCTTCAAATTCAATAATCCACCATCCTAGTGAAACACAACGATTCTTCTAATAAGATGACAATTATATTGTGATTTTTAAAGGCGATGTAAATAAATCACTTTAATACAAATTATACTGACTTTGCTAAACTTTCTTAGTTGTATTTTTGACTGAACGACATCTCACATGTTTTTTTGTTTATTTATCGATCTCTATTTTATTATTTTCATTGTGCTTTCAGTCCTTCCGCTATTTCTTCAAACTCTATCATTTCTCCATCGTGGTGCCCGACAGTACAAGAATTTATATGTAATAAGGATAAAATATTAACTTTACAAACATCTTAGAAATTCTTGAAATAACTATTATCTGTCGTTAAGATTAGCTAGAAGGATTTGATGTGAAAAGTTTATGAAAAGACGCCATGAAATTAAGGACAAATGTACAATGAAAATGTCCACTGATATATTACAACTAATTAGTAGTAGTTCCAATAATATTGAAACTTAGTGGTTGTTAAGAACAACTTGAAGTCTAACTCAGCATTCATCCTTATTACTTTGGTCTAATAAATAAACAATTTATTATATGAACTTGATACATCTCATGATATTTCGTTGATCTATTCTGATTTTTTTCTACATAAAATGATAGTGATTTCTAAATAGCTTGAAATAGTGCAATGCTATGCCTGATACTACTTGAATGAAACAGTCGGTTTATAGGTGAGGTGAATTAAAATGAGCCTTAAGTATAACATTGGCAAAACAATGTACCAGATCAGTATGAAACCCGGAGATAAAAAAACGTCTACCCATTGAAATCCCAGATAGTGAAGATGAAAAATTAATAATTTCGCTTTATTCAGATCCCCAGGGACATTTGTATAACGAGCAGAAACTAATATGATAGCAATAGTGCTGAAGCTGGAAACGCAAATGAATTACTTTTGGTCGTTTATCCATGTCACATCCTATGACAACCCTATTAGATTATTATCATCCACTCATTAGATCACGCAAAACCAACGAAATAAAACCGAATGAAAATCCACTGTTGAAATTCCAAAGGTGAATGACGACCCGCAGCATATTTGCGTGGGAACTTGGTTGAAGACCTATCTTAACATACCCTACGGTTGTTTAACTTCATAAATGTTAGTATAGAGTCACTATTTTTTATCCTTAAACGATATCAAAGTGGATAACGACCTCATAAAATCATACTGGAAAGAGATAATTCAAGGAGCTTAGTGTAAAATTCAGTCAAAAACGTACAATTTTGCATGCATATAGTATTAATGTTTGATCACCATGGGGAAATAATCTATTAACTAATTTAAGTATCCATTAGAATGATAAATTTCTCGTGTATATAGAGCAGAAAATAATTTATTGATAAATATGAGCACAATCTTTTCTTGAGACATGTTTAATGAACTAATAGTTCTTGATGAAAATCAGTGCTATATACTCAAGAATCTTTGTACTTACAGTACAGTACCATAAATGTGATAAGATCGAAAGGATTATGATGAAGACGTTATGAAACCCAAATAGTCAAACATGAATTGCGATAATGATCAGAATAAAATGTCATTTGACATTTAGACTTTATTTGTCATGACTCAATTTATAAAATGTCTGCCAACTGAATGCTAACAGTGGTCTACAAAATATTCCAATGTGCAGCCTCATGAAATCTAAAACGATTTGTAAATACGTACAGAAATTTTTATTTAGTTTAAAATTAAGATTAAGCGGACGATTAATTCTAATAAAACTTACTGGGGCTCCAGGAATGAGCTTGCCATTCAACTTAAGCATTGCATCTCTCGCAGATGTTGAGTTAGCAAACTCTATGAAACCATAACCAAGAGTTTGCCCAGTCGCCTTGTTTCGGATAACTTTTACACTCACTATATTTTCACCTGATGTCTCAAAGGCTCGTTTAATAAACATTTCATCCATGTAAGGTTCCAGCTAAAAAAGGAAAATGAATAAAACCAGACAAAACATACGTCACCCATCCATATTGTATGGGAGAAATTCTGCATATTTTAAGGCAAGTTAGTAGGTATCCTCCTTGAATGTGAACAGGTTTGGTTGAGATTGGATTAGGTTTGAAATTAGTGACAGAAGTTTATTCCAATGACTCCAGAACCTATGAATGGAAATGAGAAAGTATATAACTTAAAAAGCATGTGCCCAAAATGTGATAACTGCAAACAATGTAAAGTTTAAAAAAACCAGGAAAAGTTCGTAACCAAATTAAAGAGAGAACCTAGTGTAGCTAACCACATAGTGTTCACGTTTTGAGAACCGTTGCTCAAAAAGCATTGTGTTGACCCAAGAATTTCATGAAAAATTCAAACTATTGCTGATAGTGTATATTACTTAGATAAACTTGAATGAAAATGCAACCATATGCTGTGATCCCAACTATAAATTAAAATGAGGTAATCAGTGAGAAACCTGCAACTTTGTCAAGTATGGCACCACATCCGAAAGCTAGGTAATGGAGGGTAATGAAACATAACGATGTTGTTAATGACATTAATTTGATCTTGTCTGAGTTAATTTTTACAACGAAATGCCTATGGGCCTACTGTCATATTTTCGAATGCTATCCCTATCAAAGGTATACACTCTTAAATAGATAGAGATATATAACAAAGTTAGTGCCAGCACCGACTAACCTAGTTATATGAAATATGGATAGAGGAAATAATCAGGAAACGGCTGGTGTACACTTAAATTTTATAACCTTAATCTAAAAATATTTAGTTAAAGGATTACAAATTATAAAACTCGAATATGCCGTATGAGGACGGACAAAACTCGTGGTGGTGTAAAACATAAGTATGAAGGAACACACTCAACAATGGATGAATGTAGAAAATAACAGCACATTAGTAAACGAATGATATTTATTTTGTATACAATGATAATTATTCGTGAATACATTTATTTATTTGAACACATAAATATTGGTACAAGAATGCACCAAATATATATGCGCAAATGATGAACTCTCTATATCGTGAATACAAATTAGACCCCAGGCCACATTACTGGTCTCGGTATAATCGACATGACGATTTGAGCATTGGGGATCGAGTAATGTTAATGATAATACTATTAATTAGTGTTATAGCTGTAATGATAAAAAGTGCTGTTCCAAATATATCTTCATGCAATATTTTGATCCATGGATACATTAAACTTAAAAAACTGAATACCAAGACCATATTATTCACTTTTGCGAACGTGCCGTAGTCCACGAAACATAACTGAATAATATGATACGCCTATGACTTACGATGAATGAAATGACCTATGACTGAAGATAGGAATTAAATGGGGTGCACCTTGGGCGTTTTATACTAGTGACCTTAACTTCTACTAGATTTCCAATATCCAATATCATTGTCACGAGCTTGTATAAATTGATTGATTTCTTTGCTCTCGCTTTTTGTTGTTTACTTACGCTTCCAAATACATGGTTATGTCTAATAGATAGTAGTCTAGCCACTCAACTGCTGTGTTTTGAGTCTCTGTAGCAGTTATTTGTAAATTTGTATAACTTGTTGTAGAGTATGTTTGCCTCATAATGAGAGGAGAACAAATGTGATAATAGGAGACATAGACAGTATTTGCTGGTTGTGCAGTAGTGATAACTGAGGCAACTGATGATACATGCATTAGGCAGCTGGTCCAAGAGGGGAAAAGTAATTCATGGGTCAGAACATGTTTACCAAGTCTCATCTGAAGGCTATTCACTAGGGGGCTGTGGTCACTTCGGCTGGTAGGTATTTTCATATAGAGGGGACTCGTAATAGAGAAAGATGAGAGCGTGTCTGAGAGTTCGCTCGTTGATGTGTAACCTTTTGAGGGTTGTCTAGATGTACTGATAATACGCTCGCGTCAGGATGGTTTGGTGTACTTGATGCATTGTATAACATTATCGGATCACCCCTTGTTCTCCTGTGGCTCAGTGAGAATAATCCCAAATACTGATGTCTGTTCTCGTGAACTCTATTGCCCACTTGATTGTCCGTTTCTGTACTTGGTCCGAGAGCTTTATGTCGCTTGAAGGGAGAGGAATTAACGACACTGTATTTTTTAAACAATTTTGGGAACAATTCTGGGTTTATTGCGCCAAGATTTTGCGCATAAAGTACCGAGTTGCGTTTGCCTTGACTGCATCCCCTGTGTGATCTGAATTAGTTCCTAGTTTCTCTGTGGCTACGAGCCCGAGATCACGCTCTGAGAAGACAATAGGGAAAAAACTTCTACGGAGAATGTCAGTGCTTTGTATCAAGTGAGGCAGAATGCTCATGACGTATTGTTTTGGTAGATTTGTAGTGGCCTACTTTTATCAAGAAAACGCGATTGGTTTAATGGAAACAATTATTATTATAACCAACTGTACCAGTGATTGTTTTACTGTACTTATTTGTTCAGCTGTACTAAAGACATACATTGTTCTTTCACTCTTCCTTAGGTTGATCGTGACCTTGCACGAACCTACGTTTGCTCAGTAAACCCGCTTGTACTCCTCTGGCACGATTTCGGTATTCTTTCGATACCACGAGTTCACCAATAAACATACTTCGCTACAACCTCCAATTGCCTTCTGATATCTGGTACGTTACCTTCTTGTAGTGGTAATCATATTCAACCGCAACTCGACGCCACGCTACAGGTTGTTTTGACCCGTAGTCTACGTACATTTTCCTACTGCTGTAAGGTCTTTTGAAGCCCAACTGAATTCTTTTCGTCTTTGATGGACCTCTAGTTCTTTGTGTCGTCTGCATCGATCAGTAACCGCTAACACTGATGGTTTAAAAAATAACTCATTGGCGTAACGTAGCACAATTCTGTCCGAAACAATTAAATCTACATCCTGCTACCACTTTCTCTTTGAGCTTATTCGTGGGATCCGGTGTTAGGGTTAGCCCCCAACTGCGTGACTGATCTATACTTATGATTTTTCTACCCTCAAGGTAATCAGAGTGTGGTATATCTTTTGTCTTAACAAGCTGGCCTATATGTTTTAATTGTTTGCATTCGAAAGGTGCTTTTGATCGGATAACGTGAGTCACTCACAGTTCTGAGCCAAGTGACACCATGTAAACTACACTTCATTTCTTTTGCACTATTCGACCAACTATTCATGTAGGATGTTTGTCATGGTAGTTTAAGGCAGGTACTCGTAGTGATATTGGTTCTAACCACACGACCCTCGAAGTTGAACATAAGATAACTGAGAGAATTCACACTCAACATTCAACACGGATAGAATGTAAAAAGTGATGAACGCGGGAACAATTTGTCGAAATAGTATGGCCTGTCCATGCGGGCGTGGTTACTCGGTGTAACCTCTTGAATTCTGTCTGGACATGATTGATTCAGTTCTATCGAAAAAAATCCGAGAAGATTGCAGCTGCAAACTAAGTCCCATTGTTGGTGAGTAGTTTTTCTAAAAAATCGGAAAGACTGAGTGGTTGACACAGTTTTCTGAATGTGCAGCTTGCAGTTGGATCCCTGACCGCTTGCCGTATGTGTCAGCTACCAAAAGATAAGTTTATCCAAGGGGTAAACCAGAAAATTTCAAGTTTATACGCTACCATGGTGACTGTGGTACTGGCGAAGAGTGCAGTTCTGCACTCCATAGTAGTTTTATCGCTATTGCGCACTTGGTACACGAAAAAGATGTCTGCTCCAGTGGGATCTCAAAAACGCTGTCAGTACATATAGCTCTGTGGAACTTTTTAAGTATCGCTATTTGCATCTTTTTGAGGATTATAGAGCGTTTGGTAGTCAAAAAATCAGTTGTGAGTGATTCAAGGAAATAGCCTCTGCCGGTGAAACCACTGAAACCCTATGAAGCTGGTCTTTGAAGAACATCTTTATGGGTGGAACTTTTTAACTTAATGTAAGATTAGGTCTCGAGGAGTTCCTTCTCTGACTTAATCTGATGACAGTGGAGTGTTTGGAATGGCATCTGTCACTGCACTCCTAATTTCTGGATCCACAGCTATTCAGGGTGTGATCGTCGCAACTGATTGACCACTGGGTGGTGATCAGTGTCATTTGTGTCAAGTCCTTGTTAGTGCAAATTGAATGCTATCGACCAAGCTGCAATGACTGTGAAGCTGGGTAACATGAGATCGAATCCGTCAGGGAGCACCAGTTCCCTCAAGATTACGGGTACACCTTGCTGACGAGTGCCAAGCAACACAAAACCCGGGTCCAGGGTTTCCTGTTGATTACCTCCAACCACCATCTTATCTCAGGGTGTGATCCTATCTTCCGGTCCAGAGTGTTGAACTTCAACCAACCGAGAGAGGGCGTCAGCTTGACCGGTGGTACTGATACTTGGTACTAAATTTGTAACTCCGAAGCATTGTCTCCCAAAGCTATATTATGTTAGCTTTCCTTGGGTTTGTAGTCTATCAGTAGAGTAGACATGTGGCCGCAAATGATTTTATGGAATCTTTTAACAGCGAAAATGTTTTCCAGGGTAATTTTTACAATATGGCCTTAGTTACGTACATACATCGGTAATCTAATTCTTATCTGTCACATTTTAGCTATGGGGGTTAAATAAGCCGAATTCAGTAGGATCAAACAATGTTCAACTGTATCAAAAGACCAACTTATTGACGACTTCCAATAAAGCTGGTTATCAAATTCCTTATCTGGAACAAGAAACAGTGAGTGCTTGCTTGAGCGTCTGTAGTGGTACTAGGCTGACTCTCTAAGGTTTTCAACACAGAGCCATCATCTAAATCACTAGGGTATTTTGGACGGATATTATTGATTTGTTTTCTTCGCATGAAATTAACTTGCAACATGGACAGTACTGTACTGAATTAATGTTAGGGGGTTTCGATATCTGGGAATCACAAGGAGTCTTCTTAGATTCTCCTTTTTTCTTATGTCCAATTACGGTCCTGAAGAAATTCTCTCTGCATCGATCCCTCAAGTAAATGTTAAGCTATTGAGGGCATAAAATGTATAGAACCGAAAATGAGGTCCAAAATATATG